CTAAATCAGGATTTTCTCTCAGATACAGTAGCTACATCTTTCTTAGAGCAAGCCCCGTTATTATGAAGAAGCATGAAAGTGCAGGAGTGGTTGTGTAAGGTCCCTGGCACAGAGGGCACACAGGAAGCATACTGCTGCAGTCAAAAGTTGGTCTGGAAGCTTTGTAACAAGTCATGCTCAGGTGAAACGAAGAGCAGGAAGCTGTGATTTTAACATCTGTGCAAGTTTCAGGTTTCCTGTGCAGTGTGTAATGCTGGTATTGTAGCAGGTGATTTGTGTCAAGTGTGTGTGGCCCAGCTGTAACAGACAGACAACATTCCACATGGATTTATACCAAATGCTGATAGCTACTTAAAAACTTCAGAGCTTTGCTATGCCTCTGTAAATACACATTTTTTTTAAAGACTGGCTATTTTTACTATCCAAATCTCTTCCTAAGGCTAAAAATTTGTTACTAGGCCAACTTCTTCAATGGGTGAGTTGAAATGCTGGTACAATCTATAAAACTTCATATGCTAAGAAAAAAGACTGATTTCTTTTTTTTTTTTTTTTTAACGTTCCTCTTTTGCCCTGCCTCAGGTAGGGATAGCAGCATGTCAGATTGCCAGAGCTTGCGGTTTAAAGGTTTTGGGTACAGCAGGAACTGAGGAAGGCATGAACATGGTCCTGCAGAATGGTGCTCACCAGGCATTTAATCACAGAGAAGCCAACTACATTGATCAAATTAAGGTAAGTCTGTACCAGGGCTAGGTGGTGCTGCGTGTGTGCTTCTTACTAACAAACTGTGAACAGTTGCTGGCAGAAGTTTTTCAAAGTAGATCTATGTGGGATCTACATCCACCCACAGTAGTGTGCTGCCTCCTTCATTCCTGCACAACTTTTCCAGGCTGGAAGAGCTGAGCTTTCTTCCAGGCAGTGGCATTCAGAAACTTGCATTCCAGCACATTCCAGTGTGGTAACATGTCATAATTTGGCAAACCAGAGTATGCTGAAATTAAACGTAGCTGTCAGCCTTAGTACAAAGGCTGTATTCACAATTCAAACACTGACCCATGAAGTGTGTGTTATCTGTAGCGTATGAGGTAAACAGTGGCACCCAACACTAACTGGAGCTATTTAAATAACATCTGATGTCCTGCAGGAGTACACAGGGATGGGAGGAGTTGATATAATAATAGAAATGCTCTCCAACGTCAATCTTGCCACTGACCTGCAACTGCTGAACTACGGAGGAAGGGTGATGGTGAGTGGGTTTTGTCCCTGACTTCAGTTTGTGCATCACAATTCAAGTTACATCTTGAACCATCTTTTAACTCATTTGTAACAGGTTGTGGGCTGTAGAGGTCCCATTGAGATAAAACCAAGAGACACTATGAGTAAGGAATCCAGCATAACTGGAGTTAGTCTTTTCCTTGCAACAGAGGTAAGAAGCGCTTTTGTTTCACAGCATGTTTCGTTGGCTTATTCCAACTCCTGCTTCAGGTTAAATCATGTATAGGGATGAAAGCAGAGTCACTGTAACTGGCTTGTTCATTCCTTTACACCTAGAGTTAATCTCAGAACATCACAAAGTACTTTTGGGTTGTGAAATATGGTTTAACACTTGCATGAATACTCAGTACTTTCCTGAAAAATAAAGACCTGGTGGTAAACGCTGTTCTGTTTCACACAGGAGGAGAAGCATGAGTGTGCAACAGCACTCCTTGATGGCATAGAAGCTGGCTGGTTGAAACCTGTTGTAGGCTCTGAATATCCACTGGAGAAAGTGGCAAAGGCGCATGAAGACATTATTCATGGTGGTGGTGCTCGGGGGAAGATGGTGCTCCTTCCATAGAGTTACATTGGAGCTGTTCCAGCAGCACCTTTGGTTACCGGATTCAGTCATGGTATATTACAAAGCATACTTTTGATCAGGTTTGCCATTAACAGAAAATGCTACCTTACATTAATGACATTAATGATCAATCTATTTTCTTCTTGTAAGAAGCAGAGTTTCCTATATTTTAAAGTAATTTTTGTAGATTTTTTTTTTTAGTTGATGTGCAAATAATGGACTTCTCCACTGCTGTAGCCTTGTGGGGCAGGAGAGCCTCACATCTAAGGCAGGATTTGATATCCTGCTCTCTGTGGGTCAAGCAGATAAATTAATGTACATAATTAACTGTATGTATATAGCTGCGACTCTGAAAATTCCTTAGCCACAAAATTTGTCATCTTATTCATTTTTTGTCACATAATTTACATGGAATAAAAGCTTTTACTGCCAAAATAGTTCACTTTCCATTTCAAAAGATGGGAAAAGAACCTCTCAAATATGAACTCTTTGGGAGCAGAGGCAGTTGTTGCTGCACCTGACTTCATATCTGAGGCCAAAGCGTTCCAGGTAACACAAAGGGATGGTGACTTCGGAGCTGCACGCTAATAGCTGCTACTCTGCAGTAGCTGTCCAGCCCTGATTTGACCTTTGTCAGATTTAAAGTGCCCTGAATCCCTGACTACAGTGTGGAGACAGAGGCTGCATGGGGTGCTCAGAAGTCATGTTGCTTCATAACTGAATGTGTTTACATGGTTGACTTGTTCCAAATACAAACCGATTGAGGAAGGGCAATTTCTTTTCTATATTGATGGTTCTTACCTAAGATCTCATCTCAGTCTCTCCTCTGGCAGGTTAAAGCCATTCCTCGTTGTCCAAAGGAGGGTGGCTTTAGGAGGCTGGAGGGTTTCTTGCAACCCCTTTAGGCACTGGAGCTGCTCTAATAGTCTCTCCTTAAGGAGCCTTCTCTTCTCCAGGCTGGACCAGCCCAGCTCTCTCAGCCTGCCAGAGCAGAGGTGGCTGTTGAGTACATCAGCTTTCTCCATGTTGGGTGTCACCAGCTCTCCTGTCTTATTTACCGGTGGTGGTACATTGTCTCTAATCTTCCTTCTGTGGCCAACATATCTGTAAAGGCTCTTGCTGTTCTTTGCATCCCTCTCCAAATTCAGCTCCAGTTGTGCCTTAGCTTTTCTAATCCATCCCTACACATCTGGGCAGCATCCCCACATTCTTCCCTGGAGCTGTTCTTTGCCTGGTTTCATGTTATTTTCTGATTTGAGAGAATGTGAGATGAAGAATAAATATTGATTTTTTTATTAATAACTGAGTGTAGATATTGATCTGTTCCTATGTTTAAAAATGAATTCTAATGCTTGCGTTCACCCTTGGGTTAGCAGTTGATGGTAGCAAAGGCTGGTGTCAGACCTGTTTTTGGCTTCTGCCCTTCTGTTACACATAGATCAGTGTTTTGGTTTTATTAAAGGCACTACCAAGGTCTCATAAGGTTTCATCACTGCTTTAAGTTGGGAAGTGAGGCTGAAGCCCAGGACAGGTGGTATCCTGGAGGCAAATATTGTTGTGCAAATTATAGTGTGCTGGGGAGGAAATGAGTGTGGATTTCAAGAGTATGAAATTGTGAGCAATAACCGGGCATGTATCACAGGAGAGGAAAGGAGGTCTTTACAGTGGGGCTTGTGAAATAGATTCAGTTCATACTTAGGATGAAAGAGCAAGGTCTTGGTGTTGAACAGGGAAGGGATTATTTTTCTGATGCAAGGTTGAGTAACGTACAGTCCCTGTGGCAGTGCATCTCCTGTGTTTGAAATGAGCTTCTTGGGAGGCCACACCACGTTCTAGATTCAGGTTTGCAACATCGGGCTCTGTCAGGGGTGGGAAGTTCTCTCTTGATGCCATGTTCATTTAGCTGGGACTGCTGCTCAGGCGGTAACTGGAACTTACAGGTAAACGTTTCTTTTAATATACCATAGAGACACGGCTTACATAGATATATATAGAGAGATACTTTTCCTGATGATATATATATATATACACACATTTTTTCCCATTGCTATTAATCCTTTGCAATCTAAGTATTTGTATTTCTGCTGGGGGTGGATGGTATTGAGATACTAAGCCTTTATTCTCATTACTGAACACAGGACTATGTGGGACAGGCTGCGATGCCCCAGCGGAGGGCAGCTAGTCTCCTTGTAGCTGCCCTTTCCATAGGAGCAGGGAGCTGCGTTTCTGTGGAAGGCTGAGGAATGGTTCATCCGGAGTAGGGGTGGGTCGGGAACGCCTTGGCTGGTGGTTCAGGTGAAGGTGTGAGTGCTCCCGTCTGCTCAGGCTGAGCGCGGGGTGAGGCTGGGGTGGTGTGTGGAATCTGCCATTCCACTTGGGAACGCTGTGAGGAAAAACGGAACTTCTAATATGACCGAGGTACAAAACTGCAGGTCAAGAGCAGTGGTTAACGGTGGGTATGATCGTGGAGGTGATGATGTGCATGCGAAAGTACAGATTTTCGTTCAGACATACAGTGTATAAAATATTTAATCGTTTGAATCTGGCCGTAGCTGAGGGTATTGTGTGGGTAAGAGGCTTACGGTGCCCAGCAGCTCCTTTCCTCGGTGCTGCCTCTGCCGCGGGGCTGCGCAGCGCTGGAGCCCAGAGCAGCTTCTCTGTGCGCCAGGGGTGTTTGTTAGCGGAGGGTTTCTCGCCGGAAGGTGTCAGGGTCGTTCTTCTGCTCTGGCCGCTTCGCAGCTTCTCTGCAGCGGTAACCGGAGGGACCCGGCAGCAGGACCCGGCGGCGCTGCGCACTGTAACGTTTACCGTCCGGCCTCGATGTGCATGGGAACGGAAGCATTGTTTTAATAGAACCAGCGCTGGGCACAGGGTGCAGGAGGCGCGAGGGGGCTGCGGGAGCCGGGGCGGTGTAGGCGGCACTGCTGCACGGATGGGGCCCGTGTGCGGACCGGTCACTGCCGTGCAGCTGAGGCAAGGACTCGGCCGTGCCCCTGCCCCGCTGCCCGGCCGGTGTGGGCGGCACTGCTGCAGGGATGGAGCCCCTGTGCGCTCCGGCCACTGCCGTGCCCCTGCCCCGCTGCCCGGGCGCGCACGTCGGGGCCCACCCAGATGGGGGGGGAGCGGTTGGGAAGGACCCGCGCGCAGCCGCCGTGCCCCGGCCCCGCCCCCCGGGGAAGCCCCGCCCCCCGTGTCCTAGCGACGGGGACGCGGCGGCTGCGGGACCCTCACCTGCCCCGAGCCGCGGCCGCCCCGAGCCGCCGGTGCCGCCGCCATGAGCGGCCCGCAGCCAGGGTGAGTGCCGCGGGACGGGGCCGGGCCTGGGGCTGGGCGCGGCGCTCCAGTGCGGGGGATGGCGGGGGGGGTGGGTGTCCGTGTGCTGCGGGAGCGGCGGGGCCCGGGCGCCCTGACCGCGGCCTGCGCGGGACTGGAGGCACAGCGGAGCGACCCTCGGGGACCGGCCGCGGCTGTGCCCCGGCTCTGGTCCCGCCCCGGGTCCACGGGGGTGAGTTCCAGAGCACCCAGAGATGGGAGTCAGGGGCACCGGGCATCCGCAGAGCTCCATCCCGTGACACAGCCCGTTCAGCGGGCGAAGCTCTGGGCGAAGAAGCGGTGCTGGAGTGCTCCCGCGGCCCTGTGGGCAGTTTCAGGACTGGAAAAATATGAAAATACTTTCTGTGAAGAGTTATGGGAGCCTCTTTTGTGAAGAAATGTGTAGAACTCCATATAAAATCCAAGCTTGCTCTTGGAAGATGATCTCGCTGTAGTCACCACGTAAAGCACTTCTGGACACTGGATGGTGTTAATCCGGTTTTTGGGAGACGTGTGCTGTGGCTGATGGGGTTCACTGCACAGATGTGCCAGGAATGCTCCAGTCTGCACAGGCACAGAAGACAGTCACAGTGACAAGCTAACAAGGACCTTGCAGTGGTCTCACTGCAGCCAGCCAGGGCCGATGAGCTCCTTCCTGCACACGTTCAAGCAGACACACAACGTGGTTTCAGGAGACCATGGCCTCTCCCTCCCTTAGTTATCACTGAGTAAAAATGTACATGTGATAAAGGTCCCGTGGGCTTGGAATGAGCCAGTTGGTTATTGTTGGACTCCAAAGTCCTGTCTAGGTTCCAAGCCACCTGCAGACATCAGTGTTTTTGCTCAGCAGCTGTGTTCTGGCATGGCTCCTCACAAGCACAGTGCAGTTGTTGAAGTTAGTACCCGTGGAAGCCGGAGCTGTGAAGTTCAGGGGTGGTGCAGGATTTGTGCTGAAGGGTGCAGTGAAGACAGCAGCAGTCCTCTGAATGCCTGCGCTGGCGAGTGGGTGACACGATCCCGTTCTCAGTGATGGAATTGAACCATCCCTTCATTCCTCAGCCAATGCCGGGCCATTCCCAGCCAGGATTCACAAAGTCCTTATCACGAGGATTTAGCGGCAAGTCCCAGTTCTGCAGAAAACTACTTTTCCCCCTCTGCAGACCCTGACAGGAGCTTATTTGGACATGGGCTATGGTTCACGGTGGGTGAAGAGCTTTGGACAAGGGCCTGTAGGGACAGGACAAGGGGAATGGCTTTAACCTGCCAGAGGGGAGATTTGAGTTCTCCCGGCTGAACAAGCCAGGCTCTCTCAGCCTTTTCTCCTATCACTTTTGTGGCCTACCCTGGACCCTGTCCAACAGGTCCATGTCTTTTCTGTACTGAGGACTCCAGAGCTGCATGTAGTACTCCAAGGGGAATCTCACCAGAGCAGAGGGCCAGAAGTCTCCAGAGGGATGTGGGACAAGCCAATGTGAAGGGCCAATATGACCCACTCCCAGAGTTCTTCCCAATGGTTTAATGGGTCTTAGTTCAGGCCCAGAACATTTCCTTGTTTCCTCCAATACCCATCTGAACTTTGAGTTTAACTCAGCATTTTTGAGAACCAGCCTGTTCATAATTCACATGAAAACAATGCATGTAAAGAGGCATCTTTGAATCTAAAGTTGCTGCATTGCTGTGCTCAGGTGGAAGCTGCATTTTAACTAGTTATGTGGTCCATGAAGTATTAGATGGAAGGCAGTAAATGAGGAGGAACTAGGTTGAGTTTCTCCTTTGCCTCCATATGCGGTTGACGGTGATACCATAAGTCAATACTTGGCACAGTTGATGTAATCTGGTTGTTTCAAATGCAAATGCAAAGAGTGGGTTAGAAAAGTGACGAACAGTTGCTACAGCACCAGTGTTTAATCAACATGTGCAACGGGGTGAGCTGGACTGTTTGTGTAAGGTTTAATTTAGTGCTGGTAGGCAACCTGTGAGATTACTGTGAAGCCCCAGGCAGAATTCCTGCAAATCTATGACCCCTTCTATTTATTTTTTAATTGTTCTTTCTTTCCTTCAGCATGCTTTTTGAATTACCCCATTGGAAGGTGCGTAACAGAGGCACAGTGGCACTGAATGTAAAGCCAAAGGAAACAAGAGATCAGTCCCTTGTTGTGTGATTAAAACCTCATGCCTGGAGAGCCTGGGGCTTGGCTGAACGTGTCAGGCACCGTGTATCTGAGCGTGTATGTTTCACAAATGTGAATGGATTTAGAGTATCAAAAACTTGACCTCACTTACAGCCACTTCTGACACTTCAGGTCAAAACTAAGGCCAGGTTGGAACCTCCTCTGGGGGAAGGTGTCCCTGCCCATGGCAGGGGGTTGGAACTGGATGAGCTTTAAAGTCCCTTCAACCCAAACTGTTCCATGACTTTCTGATTCTCTGGTCTCTGGAGGTGCCTTCCAGCCCAAGTTATTCCTACAGGTCTGTGCAGGAGCTGCTGCCTGTCACCGGTGCAGAAGGGCAGGATGGAGCACAGGCTGTGTGCTGGGGCAGGGTGCTGGTGTGCAGGGACACTGCTCTGGTGGTGTGCAGCACATGCGGGTATCTGCCAGGGCCCGTGCCAGGGAGCCAGTCTGTGCTGCTGGACTCAGCCAGGACCCCTGTGGCACGATGGAGACCAGCCAAGGGTCAGCTTATTGCCAGTCTTGGAGGAGACCTCCAGGGCTGGGCTTCCTGGACCCTGTGCCTCGGCAGTGGTCGCTGTTTGATGCTGAGCTCCTGTATCTCATGTAGAAATGGCTTGGTTCTGATATGAAGCTTCCAGATGCATAAGATATTGCTTTTACGTAATGCAATGGGCATTTATCTGACAATACACTGGGATTCATCAAGCTGCGTTTTGTGCCACACACTTTTGGGTAGCTCTTTATAACTTAAACAGTTGTAATTTGGCTCTCAAGGGGTTTATATGCATCCGTATTGATTTTATTTCAGATATCTTGCAACCTACAACAGCCTTACAGACAAACACCTGGTTGGGTATTTCAACAACACCAGAATAAGACGGCATCTTCAGAGATCAGGACTGGTGAGATTGAAAAGTTCCCTTTTCTGAGGGAAAAAAAGAATAGAATAAGGGTGCTCTGTTTCTTCTACCATTGCACCGCTCAGACCACGGGTGGTTCTGTTGTTGGTTTGTTAGAGGGATGTGTTGTCCCTGGTGGCAGTTTGACCAGCCAGCCAAACACATGGCGTCATGCTGTGCCAGACCAAAGCCACACAGTCATGCTGGGGCTGGGCCCGGGTTTGTTCAATCAAAGCATTTCCCAGTGTGTCCTCAGCCACTGCTGGCCAGGGCAGTGGTGCACAAGGCTGTCAGGACACCAGGGTCCCAGGGCCACCTGGGGTTGAGAAGCTGGTGGCACGTGGGTGCTGGTGGATGAAGGTTGCACAGTGGAAGTGATGTGCTAACAGTCAGTTTGGAGGCCATGCTCCATAGGATATCACACTAGGCTTCCACTGCACCTTCTGCAATGCAGCCCATATCGTGCTTATCTGTGGGAAGCTGGGAGCAGCAGCTGGCATGGACTGAAGATGCATTTAAATGCTGGAGAGCCTCCAGCTTCTGCTCAGCAAAGCAGCTTCTCTAGGTTATAACATAAAGCACTGTATCACTGCATGGTTATGGCATGTGGTAAACTTGTATTGCACATCCAGGCAGAAGAAGGTATTTCATGGAGAGGTTTGGATAAATTCAGAATGTTTTTATGGCTTTGCTCCATATTTCTTTCTGCTCTTTGGAATTTGTCTCTGCAACACCTTTCCATTTGCAGATATGCAGAATCATCTCAATTCTCTCAGGTTCGTTACACTGTGAAATCAATCTAAGCACCTTTGACTCTATTAGTTCTTTAAAGAGCTTCAGTGTTAGTTTCCAAAAGTGCTTCATGGAAAGCTGAAGGGCTTGGTAAAGGTGAACCATTTCTAACAATAGCTGAGCACTCCTGGGTGTGACGGCTCAGCACAGGCAGTGCAACCCCTGCACAGCAGGAAGACAAGCATTCAGTTCCCCTCCACTGACTCGGGCAATGGCCCATGAAGAGTAAGGCTGAGCCCTCCACTGCCAGGAAATGTGCCTGCTGCTGCCACTCTCTTCATGTGCCTGCCGGGGTCCATGGGGTGGAGGAAAGCCCAGCTCTGTGCTGGGAGGTGAGGTCCAGCCCGCTGCAGAAGCAGAGGTGGTCTCTACCTGGGAAGAGAAAGCTGTCTCTGTGGGGAATTGCACATGTCAAAGACATGCTTTATTCTATCCTCTGCCTTTTAGTTACATTATATCTGTTTGTGGCAGATCTCAAGGAGTGGAAGAATAATACCTGAGAAGGAATACCGGCTAAATGCTCTGAGGAGGGATCACCAGAGATACGTACAGGAGTGCCTGGCTCGCGCCATATTTCACAAGGTCCTTGACATAGAGGTCTGTGTTTGCAGAGATGTGTCAGCTTCCACCTGCTTCCCTGCTGACAGCCAGTGGCTGTTAACTCATACTGGACCGTTTGCCATAGCTGGGTCGTCATGCTCCCCTGAGAGGCTCTTTCTTGCTAGGAATAGGGACAGTCTTTGTGCTTGATGTCCCCCACATGAAGCCTTCACTGGCCTGTAACTATTAAACCATAGTGACACTAGAGTACACACTGTCCTGGCTCACTTAGTGTTGGTTGGCAGTCATCACATTATGGGATGATATTCACAGGGATCATTCACTTAAAAAATTGTAGTCAAAATGAAATAGTTGGATAAGAGTTATCCTGGATAAGACAGTTACATATCCTAGTCCTGTACAAAATTCAGCACGTTCCTGTTATGTGTCAAGAGTGGAGTTGGTCCCTACAACTTTGCAAATGCTCAGTTGTTCCCTTGCCAATGTTAACATACCCAAGTGGAATGCAAATGCATTGAACCAGTAGTAGTTTTATAGTAGAACTCAATGACGGTGCTGACCAGGGAGCAGGCAAGTGATAAGCAGAACAGAAGCAAGTGTTTCTACCTTCATTTTCGTCTCGTAATACCATTAATGAGATTTCTCTTTCTCTTACATTGATAGCGCCATCATCAGCGGGAAATAAAGCAGCAGCTTGAAAGTTCTGTGAGGAAGGAGAGGGTGCAGAAGGTCAAGGTAAGGCTTGAGTGCTCCTGAGTACTGATGGGACATGGTGCTCTTGTGCTGGGATAAATAACAGCCACGAGTCAGGCCAGAGATTCACTGTGCCAAGTGTTCTATCCCTGATGTGAGTGGAAAAAGTGCAAGAATTGTGTAGGTAGAGGATGATCCTTCCTCTATCCAGCAGTTCAGGAGCTTCCCTTCTTGCACCTAATTCCTTTTGAATCTACTTATTATTTGGTTCTGCAGTGTCCTTGCCTGTGGAATTTAACAATGAGTTGTATAAAATGGTACTCGCTTGCCTTTGTGCACAATTGTCAGCATATCTGCTGTCTGACAGTTCTGGCTGATGCTCCATTGTTCTCGTTATGAAAAAAATTAATAACTGTTCTCCTTTTCCAAGGCAGGTGTGGTTTCACATACCTTTTTCACATTCCTTCTCAGTTTTCCAAGCCAAAGACCCTCAGCCTGTTGACTCTTTCACACATGAGCCTTTCAGGCCTCTCCTTACTGTGTCACTTTTTACCTTTTCTAGTTCTACTGTTTCTGTTTTGAAATGGGGAACCAGACCACAATGAATAATTCAAGACACATGTCTCAGTTCTGGTAATTCTAGACACAATGAGCACTGAGCTCATATTTTCAGTCCTTTGCCTCTCAACATGATATTTAGCAGAAGCTGCATGTGAATAATGAAAAATGGCTTCAGAAGTCTTCACTTTGGTGTCATGTAGGTAGGGCTTGATTCTGTAGTTGGTAGAGGCATGGAAATCCCACAGAGGTCAATGGCTCTTCTCCCAAGTGACTGTATGAGTCACTTGGACTCATACGGGGAAATTTGTTCTCATCTTGGCTGAAATACACACAACACCTTATTTCTCTATCAGGAGCCTGCGTGCATTGAGAAGAACACACGGAGAACTGAGGTGATGCTATGGGCACTTGAAAAACAATGTCAAATCTTCTTAATTTTAAATAATACATTTCTGAGAAATTCATCAGGTAAAGAAAGGAAGAGATTTTAATGAAAGCCACTGGTGACTGTGGTAATTGTAAAGGCACTGACTGCACTGCTGCTGGTAGAGAGTCACCACAGTGGAGACAGCAATCAAGGCACCCTGCCAAGGGGTTCTGGACTTGGATATCTTGGGAACGTAAACCAAAACGTCCGTCACTAAGAAGTGTAAGGGAGATGCCTGCAGATCCGTGATCTGTGTCTTTGCTGTGGTGCCACACTGGAGCAGGAACCTGGCTGGAATTAGCAGTGTAACTTAATTCTCACCTCATACATTCAGTCAATTGGACTGAGTAGCTCATTTAAAATGAAAGCAGAAAAGCGGGTGACTGAGCAGGGGAGGAGGACAGACAGAGCTATCTGTTTCCAGAAGGGCAGTCAGCCCAGTGTGGGGCTTTTGAGGAGAAAACATAGGAAGGGGCAAGAGCCAGAGCAAGGTAGTGGCAGGTGCACTCACCTTGAAGAGACCTTCACCCAAACCAAGAGTTCAGAGATATAGAGAAACAGGCAGATGACTTGAGTCTGGGGGGATCAGCAGCTGGAGAGGGCTACAGCGAAATGAATCAGAGGTGGGAGCAATTCTTTTCCTTTGTCTCTCTCTTATTCTCCCCATGATTTCCTTTCCCTCCTTAAGTAGGTATTGCATCGGGTCCAGACAAGCTGATCTCACAGCTCTCCATTGAAGGACAGACAGAAGGCAGGCCCAGACACTGCTGTTAGGGTACGTAGTACCTCAGAGATGTAAATTTCTGTTCTTCTAGATGGAGCAGTTCAGAAGATCAGTGGAAGGTGTCAACCCTATGCACTTCCCGCATCCACCACTTGCTCCAAGATATCATTATGGACTCCATCCTTTTGTGGCTGAGGAAACAGCTGGTCACTCACAACTGGTAAGTTTTCCCACTGATCCATGTGCTATAGGTACACACAGTTGGAAACGTGCAGGTATACCTGGGGCATCTGTGCTTCTAGAGCACTGACTGCACTGGTTGTTCCAGATTAGGGCCTCATTCTTCACCTCTTGAGGCTGATATCCTCTTTGCAAGATTGTGCCATTAAAGAGGAATCTCAAGAAGCTGATGTTGCAGGAATGGCACATCAGAACTTTGGAAAAAAAAAAGCTTTGCTTTGTGATAAATCTTTAACTTTTCCCTTTTTTCAGCGTTGCCACCCTAGATCAGGCCAGTGTCAGTACTTCAGGTGTTGTCAATGAATGCTGGGCTGTGGGGAAGTTTACGCATGGTGTAAGATCCTGAAAGCAATGGGTTTTTCAGAAAACAGAGCTGAAGGGGTGAAGTAAGACTACAGCTCACTGCAAAGCAAGGCCGTGGTTTGGAGCTCTGGCTCAGAAGCCTCTTGCTGTCTGTTAACAGGCAGAGAAGGAATGTTGATACACGCTTGAAATATAATGATACTGAAGTCTAAGGTGAAAGGTGAAAGACATCATAGTTCAGTTTTAACTGTTTTTTCTTTCAATAATGATAATAGGTACAGAATGAAGAGAGGTTTTCAGTCCTGACTGACCTTCCCCTCTCCACACAGAGGGCACCTGGACACTGTGATTACAGTGGTGGACATCCTCCTCCTCATCACCAGCCCAAGGAACCTGACTTTTCTAGGGTGGTGAGTTACCTCAGCCAAACAGCAATCCAGTTACAGTATTTGAACTCGGTATTCTGAAGGGGATACAAGGAAGAGATGAAATAAAAAAGCCAGAAAAATGCTGAACGTGAACAAACGCAGGCATGCTTGTGTCATGCATTCTGTCAGTGTCCATGTGCTGAAGTCACCGAGACAGGCACATCACTACAGCTTCTGTGAGTTCATTCTGTTTGCATCAGGGCTGCACTGTCAAGAGCCAGTAGCAAACCCTGTATTTATGGCCAAGAGTTTATTTGGATGCTCCAGTTTTTTGGATGCTCAGAGACGTCTGAAGGGGCCTGGCTCTTTGGGGACAGCCTAGAAAAGGTCTGTTCCTGAAGGTACTTGAGAGTCACTCATCCCTTCCCAAGGTCTTGATTGGTGCTTTCTTTGTTTTCCCTCTCAGCTGCTGCTGTGTACTGGAAACTGCACTGAGGTTTCATGGCTGTTTCCTTTTTCCTTTTCCAGACTTCCTGGCGACCCAACACAGCTCCAGGGAACATGCAGCACCCCCCTCGCCTCCAGCCGCTTCGCAGCCGTGCTGCAGAGGGGTCTCTACCAAAGACTTCAAGCTCTAGCCACAGGTGCCACGTGCTGAGATGTGTCAAGCAGTTTGTCACCAGGGTGAGGCCACATTTCATTCTGAAAATGACCTAATGCTGGCAACAGCTTTATAATAGTGCTTTGGTGCTGCAGTTCTGCTGCCAGCAGCATGCCTTCCCAATGGCAGTCAGCTTTCACTTAAACCTTCCTTTTTAATCTCCCCTTAGTTTTCATGGCATTGTCTTACTGGCCTAATGCCCCATGCTTGTTCACAGTGAGGAAAAATGTGGTGACTTCTTACAGCATAAAATCTCTCTGCATGCAGAATTTTCTCCCTCTACATAGACTTTCTGTTGCATAGAGAGGGAGGCACCTGATTAACACCAGTGACTCAGGAATATTTTCATGCAGTCCTACAAGTTTTCATCCTCATCTACAGCTGCAAAGTAGGAAAAAGTCCTTTCTTTTTTTGCCATTCCTCCTCCTAAGGAAACCGGTGGGTCCAGAGAATGAGAGCTTGGTGGAGTAGCCAAATGTGATCTCGATGTGCACACAGCTACTTTCAGCTGAGATTTGGCCTTGTCTTCTGTTCTAGAAAAAACATTCTGTAGTTGGCTTTGTGTTAGGGATTCTGTGGGACTCGAGGGTTTTGGAAGGAGCCTGTGACCTGGAGCCACTGACTGGCAGGCACTGTATGGATAGCTCCTTTCTGCCGTGCATTCACTCTGTATTGTGAAGATCATTCTTTCTTCAAGAATTTGCTGTCACTGTCTCTGTGTACTCAAATTATGGGTGATTTAAACAGCTTCTTTAGTGCCTACTACTGACAGGACAGCTGAGTCAGTCACAGATTGTGAAGGTGATGCAGAGCTCAGATACAGAGCATGCAGCACTTGCACTGGAGATGTCTTGCCTTTCAGCTCCTGTTTGCATTTTGTCCTGAAGGAGGACTAAACCTCCACCACAAATGGGAAAGGGGTGTTTTGAACCACATCTTGTATAATTGATGCCAGATGATGTTACTGGAAGATTCTGGCTGCCTTGGAATTTGGGTGCTGAGGGAACACTGCAGTGCGGTGGAGTTGTGCAGTCTTCTGCCTACTTGTGGGCAGGACTCTGCATGGTTACAAGCAGTACATGGTTTATGATGTTATATATATATCATCATAGGATGATGGTATATATATATATATGTATAAAATCATAGAATCATAGACTAGTTTGGGTTGGAAGGGACCTTCAAAGGTCATCTAGTGCAACCCCCCTGCAATAAGCAGGGACATCTTCAACTAGATATGCATCATATATATGAAGGTGACATTTTCAAGCCATCTACCTGTCGCCTTGCTAATTAGAAGGAAGGGTTTTAGCCCAGAAATGTTTTTGTGAGCAAAACTGCAGGCACCAATTGAGAGACTTGTTCTAGAAGGATGTGTGTTACTAAATGTAAAGAGCACTCTGAGCATGGGTGGTGCATTGTGCTCAGTAACTATTTAATCTTGCCTTGGTGAGGCACTGGAATGGGTTGCCCAGGGAAGTTGTGAATGCTCCATCCCTGGCAGTGTTCAAGGCCAGGTTGGACAAGGTGTCCCTGCCCATGGCAGGGGGATTGGAACTTGATGATCTTAAGGTCCTTTCCAACCCAAACTATTCTATGATTCTATGATTCTAATCTGGGTAAATGTTTTGCAGCAGGAGAGGAATGGATCAAGACTTCTGAATTCAGTGAAGTGTGTGACTGGTGTATCCCCATATCAACTCCCTGCCATCAACAACTATGTGATGCCAGTGCCACCTCCTCGCCTGCAAAAAAGGGGCCTAAATGCAGAGAGGAATGGGATGCCCAGAGGGAGACAATTTCATCTTGCCACTGCACCCAGTGATGCAGAGCAACCTCCAAAGAAGGTAAGTTATCTCTGCTTTTCTGTTAATGTAGAGGCATATTACCTTCCTCACTGGTGTATTTGCCCAGTGCTGAAAGATGTGTGCAACTAGTTTGCATAAATATTCACTGAATTTTTGAAAGGAAGAGTGTTTATCACTATTAAAATATCTAACTGCCACCCATCTCCCTCTACTAAAACATTTGGTGTTTTCATCAGTGGAGGGGTAAAACCGTGCTTGAACAAAACCTCTTACTTAACCCTTCCATTTTAGCCAATCTGATTCTGCTCTGACCATATTTGGTACCAGAACTTCAGAGGGATATAGGAAATGCCTTCCATGTATGAAAACTCCATCTGTTACACTCTATCTCCACAGTGTTGATACCTGTAAAGGCAACTGTTAGGAACCCAGGACTGGGAGCAATGACTTGGGTCATTAAACGTGGTCCTGACATTTTGGGCAATTCACTGCAGTGGATTTTCAGTTCAAAACCTTTTCCTGCCCTTCAGCACATTACAAACCACTTCCCAGTTGAAGCAGCTCAAGGCCTGTGCTGCAGATAGGAAGGCCCCCGTGTATGCGGCACGTATTCCTCTGTGCTCACCTGTGTCAGAGCTGGAGCCTGATGCACTCTCTGTGTCCTTCCCGCTGCAGCCCGCTGGAGGGTTCCCCAGGTCCCCACTCCGCAGCAACGCCTGTGTTACCATGGTCTTCCTGGGAAAAAGCGTGCATTTATCTCACGATGATGCTGATTGCAGGGATGAAATCAAAGTCTATCAGCAGCATTGTGGAGGAGAGAACCTCTGTGTCTACAAAGGCAGGCTGATGGCAGGAGGTAAGGATGGGCAATCAGACTGCTCGTATTGATGCTGGCAACATCCTTTTTTGGGGGCTAGAATACTGATGTGGTTTCAAACTGATTTCAGCTGAGCTCAGTCAAGATCTGTGCTTCCAGGGGGTTTTGTACCATCTGCCTTCACACTACATCTGGATCTACTGTTTCATGATTGAAACTGAGGTTACTTTTTCAGATTCTGGTGGAAGGAATTTAGAGAACTGATTTAAAATGCTCTAGCTTAGAATAATTTTGTATAAAGGTGTACTGTTAATAAAGTAAATAATTGTAGCATTGAACTATCCTTAAGGAGGGGTTTTCTGTTTCTAACTTACTATAATACATCCATGGATGTTGCTTATTATTTCACAAAGAAAAGTACATAGTAGGAGCCCAATTCCCATCTCTTCTATGTGAGTTCCATGACACCAGTAGAAGGTGAATTGTGTCTGGGAAATTGGGAGGACAAAATGGCTGGGAGATTTTCACTTATAGAGAAGAGTGATACCACAGGCTGTACCCCTCATTCCAGCTACAGAGCCCTCTGAGTATGTGTTTGCACTTACATTGGGTGTGGAAGATGGTGCATAGATGGGGCATCTCTGCTGTGGAGACAGGAGAGAGAGCTAGTGGGAAGGGTCCCTGTGCATGGCAGGGGTTGATGATGAGCTTTAAGGTCCCTTCCAACCCAAACCATTCCAGGAGTATACGGTTCTTTGAGGCCTGAACAATCTGTGCACAATGTGCACCCTCCTAAGTCAAGAGTTCACTTTTTTGAGGTGGAAGCTCTGGTGTCTGTTCCATTGTAGCAGTGAGTGGCCAAACTGGGGATGTATTTGCTTGTCCCAGGTGTGTCCAGCTTGGTTCTCTGGGTTGGAAAGAGACAAGGCTGCTGTGTAAGGAGGAGGCAGACTTTTATCTACTGCTTAATGCAGCTGAGAACAGTGTACCTGACCTCTGAGGGCTGTATACTTCAGTGGTGGTGCAGGTGAGATACAACCATTGCAGTATGATAGAATCCCAGACTGGTTTGTGTTGGAAGGGACCTTAAAGCTCATCCAGTTCCAAACCCTGCCACGGGCAGGGACACATTCCACTAGAGCAGCTTGCTCCAAACCCTGTCCAAGTAAGTCCCAGTATAGCACAACCTTTTTCTCTGAACCCTTTCTGTGATTACAGAGACCTTTCAGTTCATCTCAAAGAGGCACCGTGGCTTCCCATTCAGCCTTACCTTTTTTCTCAATGGGATACAAGTGGACAGGTTGAGCTGCTGCTGTGAGTACAAGCATCAGAAAGGTTCCAGGCTGGGAGGCAAACATGGGTCCTTCGCGATTCTGCACGTGGAGGGAGCATCTCCTTGCTACAGGTATGGAGATGAATGCACTTAGCTCACAAGGACTCAGCAGCCCGTTTTTTAGAGAGTTTATCACTTGTTTCCTCTGTTTTTTTCCATCTGGCACCTCAGAGCTCTGTAGAAGCTGTCTCTTTCTCAGTGCTCCTTGAAAGCACAATGCAGCTTATTGCTCAGGGTCTCAGAGCCCAGGATGCCATCAAAGCTAGCTGCCTCTGTGCAGTCACCCTGTAGAGCAGCAGAGCAGTGGGCAGGGGCTGCACTGCGTCTGTCAGCTTGCACAGCCTCAAGCCTTCTCTATTGTGCCATATTATTTTTGCCTCCAGTGTAACACTGAACATGGTTTGTGTAAATGTATTAGTATGTTCAAAGCAGTGAAAACAACGTGAGTTCAGAACGGACACGGTGGCTCCAGAGCTCAGGATATGCCCAAATCTGTTTCTGTCTGATTTCTGGAAAAGTTTGAGGTGAATTTTCTGAATTAATGTAGTCTCCAGAAACTGGTTAATTTCCTTCTGACTTGCCCCCATTTCCTGTCCCACCTCCCCTCTTATTCTTAGTGATATCTCTGTTTTCCTGTCTCTTGTCTTGTCCAGCCAACGCTATCTGGTGACTAGAACCCATCTCCATTAACTACATTCTCCCTGTGCATGACAGCTATTTTCACATCTTCAGATCAAATGCACTTGTATTTCTTTCTGCTTCAAATATGACACCACACCCACACATTAGATACCCACTCTGATTCTCAGCAAAGATCCCAGCTGATCTGCCCTGTTGGGTTCAGGCTTTGGTTCACAAAGAGCTGATGCCGCAGTGATTTGTACACTGATGCTGTGGTCCTTGCACTGAGAGTTTTGTGCTGGCCTAGGTCCAGCAGAACTCCATCAGTATCTTTGAGGTCCCTGAACAAAATACCAGGAATGAGTAACTACAAGGTAGGACTCTCCAGAAATTGTCAGGTTTACATTTTGTGCCCTCACTCAGAACTAAAACATTTCTGGACTGGGTAACTGTGGGGTGTTTCACAGTAGTTCATAAACAGCTGGAAGGTGAGCAGAGGTGCAGTCAGGGAAAGGAAAGGAAAAAGGTTTTAAGACACAGTTGTTGTCTGTGAGGAAAATATGTTTTTCCAGAGAGACTTGTGATTAGCTACAGTGAAAGTTCCAGTTTCAGCTCCATCCTCTGCTGATTTGAGTCTGTACTGCATACAGCATGATGTCCTGGCACCCATGGGTGCTGTAGGTTGGCTCTTGGCATCTGCAGTTGACATTAATCAGGATTAGGGACTCTGATCTCTTGTATGAGCCTCCTGAGTATACGACACAAAGGCTGTCACTCCATTTTATACATGAGGAGCAGTCTCAACAGGTCATCCAAAGTGCTTCATTTTCCAGCTATTTGGATTGCTATTAGGTAGGCAAAACAGAACAGAAACTGCAGATAACTCAATTTCAATCTCTCTCTTCCCCTGCAGGCATTAGACCCAGCAGACAAATCAAAAACCCCAAACACAGTCTTATCCACAAAACCTGAGTTCCCACTTTATGGGTATTACAGCAGGATCTGGGTCCGGCACATCTGACTTGGAGCTTGTCTGCCTTTCCCAGTGGTTCTATCTTTATACCTGGTGTAGCTTGAAATCAATGGACACTTTGCCTTTAATCTGTTTATACTTTAGTTGTCTTCTCCTTCAAGAAGGGCTGCATCTGTGTTAGTGGAGCTCCTGAGGGTCTCAGGGTGCTTCTCCAAGTGGGTCGTTACCCCTGCTGTGTAAGGGGCAGTGCAGAGGCACAGGGGTACCAGGTTTCACTGTTGATAGTGGCTGAACAGTTCACTGCATCTGCTGCCCTCCCATCCTTCACAGAAAGAAAAGTGTGATACTTCTTGGTGTTTTATAGGTGCATTATTGCAATGGGTCTGGACAAAGAGCCATCCCCTCCCAAGAGGAAGGTGAAGGAGGACCATGAGGAAAAGTATGTGGGTTTCTGGGGAGATGGAGCCTATAGTGAGCCAAGCAAAAGCCGTGCTGAGCAGAAATCCAGAAGAAATTCAGTGTTAGTCATCCTGCCAAGTCATGAAGCAACTGTGGAAACTGCTCGGGGTGAAATGAAGACCAAACGGGAGTATGGAAAAGAAGAGATGAAAAAGCCAGCTGATTGTGAGAGGGAAGGCGGTCAGGAAGACACCATTAAAAATGGTACAGTATTCCAAAACACAAGCAGGGGGTGGCAAACGGAGAGGGTGACTCTGGAGAAGGCATGGGACTGCGTGCCTCCAACTTTGCCTGAGGCATCCTCTCTTAGGACGCCTCATATGTGAGAAATGGGGTGATGCCCATGTCTGGGCAATGAAACTTGTGGGGTTCCTTTGGGCCAAGCACCAGGCCGAGAGGGTTTTGCAGAGCTAGGGAGGTGGGTAAGGGGGGTCTGAGGGGCTGAAACGGGGGCCTGAGGTGTGAGAAAGCAGAAGGTACGTGGGGCACGGTGAGGTGGGAGATGGCAGCTGGTGGAGGACTCGTGGAGCAGAAGGGAGGGCTGGGGCTGGGTGAGCTCTGAAGGGAGATGGACACCAGTGGATGGAGAGGAGACGGTGGCCAGGGGGGCAGGAGGCGGAAGAGCCTCGTGCTGCGGTGCGGACGGGCCGTGGAGGGAGGAGGCCGGGTGCTGGGGCAGAGCAGCAGCGTCAGCGCGATGGAGCTCCCGCTGGAGCCCTGCGGTCTCCCTGCTGCCCGTGGGCAGGGGCAGCGCCTTGCTCACCGGGGCTCCTCCAGCCCTTTCTCTCCCGCACTGCCCCAGGCACCCCAGCCTCCAGCAGCTCGTCCCTGTGCCCCGGCTCTGCAGCTCACCTCTCGCCTTCCCTGCTCCCCTTGCAGTGCTGCTGTGCAGCGTCCTCGTTACTCCCTGCGGATGTGTGTCGTTAATCGAGCCTTTCTCCCCCAGGAGGTGGGCGTCTTTCTCACAGTTACCTGCAGAGGTCTCGCTCCCAACAGGGCAGCTGGAATCTCAATTGATTTTTGATACAGAGAATGAATGTTATTCCCGTAATTCTCGTTGCCTCGATAATGGTTTATTTGGCTGATCGGTTCTGCATCAGATACTCTTCATCTCTGTCCTCGGCATTCTGGCACTCCAGTACTGAAAAGCTGCGATGGAACAAAGAGCACAGTGAGGCTGTGTGGCAGAGGAAGAGCCGGTGGCAGCTCTGCAGCACTCCTGCGCTGTTGGGGTCCCTGCTGCTTGCAGTGAGCTGGTGGCAGCAGTGGCGATCCTGGGTTTCAGTGGCACCAAACATCTCTGTGCATTCCAACAGCACAGCCTGGCCTGGGAGTGGAAGGGCTCTCCAGTGCAGGTGCATGGACAGCCCTTGTCTGTAGACCTGAGCGAAGGGAAGGTGTCTATCAGATGTCGCACCTTGCCAGGCCACTAGTAGCCTGGGATGAAACTCAGACCTGCTGATGTAAAACTGCACTAAGCTTCACCTGTACTTTACCTGGGACCTGAAGGGTGTGTTGGAACAGTGTGATACAGGCTGTTCCTCTGCAGCACCCTTTGGCTGGATTTAATGAATTCATGTAGTTTGTAGGCCTCTTCTTTGCTAATTAACCATGTGAACCCATGATCATCTTCCTGGACGCTACAATATATTACCCTTCCCCAGCTTTCTCTAGTGCTTGTATTCTTTTTTCATCACAAGTTTCTCTCCTGTAATGAGACTGTCTAGCATTCTGAGTTTGCCCAGCACTTAATTTTCCCAGCCCTTCCAGTGACTAATGAATGTGTTTGGTTTGGGTTTAATGTAGTGATCATACTTGGTGCATCATTCAGTAGCTTTACTGCACTTTTGCGGCTCTACCTATGAAGAACATGATGCTTTTTTATGATAACGCGCTCTTACGATTCCTGCTGTGGTCTTAGATTTTCTCGTGGCTTTAAAAGGACTGAGCAAATGCAAAGGCAAGGGGGCATTAATGAAGTTCTGTCTGCTTGAAAAGAACTTTATTAGTTGTGAAGTTCTTTTCCTGTCTCACACTGTGATTCTTTTATTTTAGAGTATGATGAAGATTTTGAAGCAGATGAAGAAGTTAATGAAGAGGGACAGACCAATGATCAAATGAATGGGATGTCAAAGTCACCCTCAGATGATAAAAACCATAATTTAGACTATGAAAATGAGAGCAAAACCTCATCACAGAAAGCGCTGCAGGCCTCTGACAGTGAGGAGGATGAAAGTGATGGGTATTCTGACAGCAGCTCTGAGGATGATGAACAAGGTTAGTGTTTTCCATAATGAGGCTTGGAGAAGCCGACCTGATGTATACCCGGTACATCTGTTGATGGGAAAACCCATGCAATTCCTATGGAATTGGTAAAAGATAACTATTCTGTCTCTTACTAATTCTACCTTCTGTCACTGACATACAGCCAAACGCAGTGGCAGGGTGTGTATGTGCCAGCTCACAGCAGGCTTTGGTGAACTAGTTAAAAATGGAGATGGAGCCAATCAGCAAATTAGCTCTAAACACTTGGGTGAGTGAGCACTGTTTCTCAAGGTGAATGGAAACACTACTTTCACACTTGTGTTTGTGGGTGAGTTAAGCAGAGGTGATCCAGCTGCTTGTGACAAGGTTGCAGCTGCAAGAAAAATCCAGGCTTTTTATAGGAAGTACAACACCAGAGACCGAAATCAGGTTTGAAAGATCCTGGTTTATAAAACCAATCACTGCTGTGGCCCCAGAGAGTCTTGGTTTTTGTTCTCTCTGATAATTGGGCACTGGTCACTTGTGAGCTATGAACAGTCAGTGAGCTCTCTGCTTCCACTGTCGCTTTTGGGGAAAGGGGGCAGAGGAGCTGCCCTTACCTCATTATCCCTGCTGTTTGCTGAGGCTGTAGGAAGACAGGTAATGCTCTGACTTGGCATTTGGTGTCTTGTGTAAGCAGCAGTTACCAAATAACGGGTGGGGAGCCAGGGGGGCTTTTAGAAGTCTAAACATGCCAGTACAATAAGTAATGAGAGACTCATGGATTAGGAGCTAGGGATACTGATGGAAGAGCCTTTGTGTTATGTTGTGAATGGATCTGTTCTGTGCTCGGGGCTGCCTGACTGCTCCCCATGGGTGTAAAACACTGTCAACAAGAGGAGCAGTGCTTCCAACATTTATCTTCTCAGGACAAGAAGCCTGAAGGGAGCTCCTCAGTCCTTATTTACTACTGGTAAAAGGTAGACTGTAACATCAGATAGGGATGGTTTAAGGTCACTACTAGCTTTGGGTGACATTTCAGATCATTATAGCTTTGGATTTCTAGGGACTTTGCATTTAAGTTTGAAGGCCAGGATGATCTTTTGTTCTGGATGAAGTGATTAATGTTCCAAGAGGTTTCTGTGCTTGGGGTGGTAGAAGTATCCAAAACCAGTTGGTATCTACTGCTTGGTGCTTGAACAGAATCTGTTACAGCCAGTAAAGAGTGGAACCCAAACTGGTGCAGAGTGTTTCCTTCTGAATAGTGTAGGAAAGGTTCATCATCTCCCATAGGTCTATTTGCTGTTACCTGGTGGCACCGAGTCCTCATCTAGTTTCATCCAGCTTCTTTAAAGAAAATAAGCTTTTTGTGTTGTTTTCCTCTGGGCAGTGATACCTTGAACACAAATCCTGAGAGTTTTCATTCCTCTTTGCTATCTGTTGGTCTTTTATATTTCCTCTTTGTAATGAAATCTTTCTCCTGTTGTTTTCTGCCACAGCTCAGAAGAGATAGAGAGATGGGCTAAAAAAGATGGGGGCTTTTCCCAATGGAGCTGTACCAGTAAATCTATAAAAACTAAGGGCTCCTTGGTAATTCTGAGGACAAGAAGAGTTTTCTGTTTGGATGGAGGACCCTTGCTCTCTGGAAATAGTATGCATAGAAATATTTCAACCAACTTTCGTAGCAACTTCTAGTTCCATTTTGGGGACTCAAGAACCTATTCAAAAACTTGTCTGAGTCACATTTTAGGGGTGCTTTTGGAGTCTATTTCTGTGTGATTGATGGATCTAATCTGATTTGTTTTGGTTGTCAGAAAAAACATGTTAAATAGCTTTGACTTTAACCCTTTGATACATCTGAGCAGTGTTCTTCTATTACCCATAGTGAAGTTTTGTCACAATATCCTCAGATGGTGTGATTCAGAGGCTGATACCAGGTGACTGTCTGTCCCTTTGTGCACAGCAAAGGGAACTGTTGGCCAATGAAGGCAGATGTAGTGACAAAGGCTACACCAAAGTTCTGTTTGCTCTTTCTAGGTGGGAGGCCTGTGCACTCTTTCTCATCCGTCAGCACCCAGTACAGCAGTGAAGATGACTCTTGTGCTGAAACAACGAAAGATGATGTTGAGGGCAAAGAGGAGCATAACGATGAAAGGGCATCTGATAACACAGCACATGAACAGTTTGGAAATGAGAATGGGGAGAATAAAGTGCACAGAGTGGAGGAAAATCAGGAAACTTCTGTACTGGAAAAGGAAGGAATAGATGGAGCAGAAAAGGCAAAACCAGAAGATCTAACAGCAAGGGGAGACACTGGAATTTTTAATGAAAATACAACAGCAGAGCAGCATCAAAGTCTTGAAGTTAACAGGGAACTCGACCAGCCTGCATCAGTCCAAAGTGACGCAGAGGAAGATGAGGAGAACACCAGTACTGGGAGAGGTGATGGGCAGGAAGGTGTTCTAGTGCCTTTGGAAAGCAGTGTGACAGAAGTGGAGGACAGCAGTGATGAGGCTCCTTATAGTGATGAAGGACGGGGTGAGTACAGTCCCTGGCACAACTGTGAGTGACTAGTGCATGCAAGGGTTGCTGTGTCTGCTTTGTGCTCCTTCGTTGTGCAGCATGGGGAATGCCACTGCTGAACTGGTTTCAAGCTTCTGCAATGCTCTGTGCTGCTGTGAGCTAAATAACCACCCAGAATGTCACCTGGGTTTATTGGTTCTTTTCTAGTGTTGCCAATGTAAGGCTTTGGCTGTTTTACTCGAGTCATTTGGTTTCACATAGCATGCAATCACTATGAAATCCAAACATGATTTCTTGTCTGTAGGACAATCTGTGTGCCAACTGGAGGACAGTTTATACTGTCAAAATGCTAGTTCAAAAATAACACTAAAAATTACCCTGGGAATCTTGGTGCAGCAGATGAAGGCCAGACTATGTCAGTTGATCCGTGGTTGTGCTGCTTCACTCTGGCACGGGCTTGTTGGCAAGGAGTAAATCTATCAGTTGTGACACCTCGTTTCTACTGTTGCCAAAATGGGCATTGAGGAGTTTCAACCTTACCTTCCAGGGTAACGTCATGGGCAGTTAATAAGAAGTTAGCCACATGAGCAAGGTTTGCATTATCATATCTGGGGAATAAGGAAAAATGTGATCCTTGCTTTGCAATGCCATTCAGGTCATGGGGAAATGTCTTGGATACTGTTAAATCAGGCAGAACAGCATCTGTGCTGGTGCTGACACAAGGGACAGCCACAGGCCGTGGTAGATGGAATTTCCAGTTCTCTTTCTGTGTGCTGGGTTTCCAGTGGAATGTAGAATGCTTTTCCTTTATGTCACAGCAGGTTTTGGCTCTGTTTCTATGGCTTTCTGTTTACAGCAGTGCATCCAAGGTAGCTGTGCGTGGAATAAACTGTTCGACTGCTGGTGCCTAATGCTTGGCAAGTCCGTTGCTGCTGGGTTACTTTGTCTTGTGCATTGCTATTGCTTTGCTATGCAATCAGAATTGAGACAGTGACAGTAACACACTAGTCACTGAAGAGTGCTGAAGTCTTCAAAGGTTTGCCTCTGGAACCCTTCTCTTCCCTTGTGGGAAAGAAACTTCAATCTCAGCACCTTTGCCGCTAGGCTCAGATGAGTTGGGTGAGGACTGCTGAAGGAGAAGGAACTTTAAAAACCTGGCGACAGAGATTATGCTGTAGTAGAAAACCAAGGAAAGACCCATTGGATGTGCCAGGCTGGTAATCTGGCACTGAGTTAGCCAAGAGAATAGTGTTGTTCTTTGGTAGCATGAATTCCTGTGTGCTCACATCAAGCATGCATGGTTCCATGTCTCTAGGTTTAAGCAGAGATCCCCTATCATATACAGATAGACTGAATGTAACAGAATTCACTTCTTGGTCAAGCCCTACATCATCTCTGCTGCCAGGAGACTACCTGAGACTCAGGGACAGTGCAGATCAAGAGAGGACAAGAAAAATCATTGACTCATGACAGCTGCAGACAGGAACATCTTCCTAAGTTGCAGACAGATTTTTCCCTGTCTACATGAAGGTTGTCTAGGTAAATTTTATAGTAAATAAAGAGTTGCCAAGAAACTGTGTAGAGAGCAGTGAAAGGAAAAGATAACACACTTTTTGAGGGATAATGAGCCTGCTAAAGAAATACTGTGGGGTAACAAAGGCAATATGGGAATCCTGGCTTATCCCAGGCACTTTGCACAGTGGCTGCCATGATAAAGATTTGAATTCAAAATGTAGGGAGATCTAATGAGGGTGCTGAGGAGCTGCCTGTACAGGACGTGCTGCCTGTACCCTGCGGCAGGCAGCCAAGGGGTGTCCTGCAGCAGAAAGCTTCTTGTCTGCTCTGAACGACCGGAGCAGGATGTGCATAGCTGCAGAGACGGCGTCAGGATCCCAGGAGGAACCCTATGAACCTCCCTGCTCAGCTTCCATGGCTCCTTACTGCTTCACTGAAGGGTGAGAGCAGGGAGTGAAGCTGCTGCTGCCCTTTGGGAGCTGCGGCCCAGGCAAACGGGAGCTTGTGCTGCCTTGTGGACCCCAGGCTGAAGTGGTCATTTGGAAATGTGCTCACAGGTCTGTTCAGAAGGGTGGTGCATGCAGGGTGCCGATGGGGTAGGACCAACGGGTGTAAGCATGAAGTGGGAGGAACCACAGGAGGAGGAAGAAGAGAAAATAAACACAAAAGTGAAAAAAAGGAAAAAAAATACCATAGGGAAGGGTGGGTGGAAAACCAGAATCAGCAGGGGAGGAAGAAACAGCCCCACAGGAAGAAGCTGAGAGATGGGGAAAAGGTGAGAGCACAGCGTGTGCATGGGAAGAGGGAGGCAGGGATGCGGGAAGAGAAGAGTGCTGGTTCTGGGAAGATCGTTGGTAAAGATACTGAAAAGTGTCTGTGTTCTCACTGAGCCTGGAGAAGAACTTGTCTTCTAGAAACATCTAGAAACCAGAACACGGAAGAAGTGTCCCTGCAGCTCTTCTGCTGCATAGATGAAGCTGGCAAGTGTATGCCATGTCACCTGCAGTAGTAAGATCTGAAATGTTGTGATTGTCTCCTCTAAGAGCAGAAGGCTGGGCTTGACCAAAGTCTCAAGTGTAAGCAGTTTGCTGAGTTTCTCCCTTTTGGACACCAACTTGGTTGTTCCGTATCTGGAACGTATGAGCACCAGCACCATCCTGGCAGCAACAGGGATTACGCAGGTCCCACACTGACAGCCACAACATGAGCCGAGGCAGGAGCTGTTGCAGAGATGCACCTGAAGGGCTTCATTTCCCCATGGGCACAGCCGGCAGTAAAACCAGAAGCAAGGTTTGGTTTTATGCTGCCAGTCAATGTCAGTAGCAACCTTGGAAGTGATCTGTGTGAGAGGCTCAGCCGGTAACTGCAACAGGAAAGACACAGAAAGCTGGTAGAACTTGGAGGGAGAAGCCTGGCTGCTGGAGGGGAGAGCTCCTGGGAGAGGTCTGGGAGGGACTGGACTGTGTATGTAGCTGGAACACTGCTCCTAGAGAACTTGTTCAGTTTTTCTAGCTTGAAAGCCACTTGCATAATCCTCCATCAAGGCATAAGCAAGAGCGGGAGTGATGCAGTCTTAACAATAACGTTGAACATGTGACTTGGCTGGGAAGGCTCATTGCATGTACAGAGCACAATAATTCCCACTTAGCTGTAGCTAAGCACAAGTCTTTGGTCACTTGTGTTTGTTTGAGGGATTGGGGAATCCTCAGAACTGCAGTTGGGAGCTTAATATAGCATTTAAAAACCATGTTCATAAACCAGGAATGATTTTATGTCTATAAACCAATGCTGTTGCTTGAGTGTTGACTCCCCTCAGAGCAAAGCAACCTCATTGTCTGTGAAACGTGCAAGATTGCTGCTCTGTGCTTCAGTGGAGCTCCTGCGTGACTCTTCCCTTGCATCCTGAGTGATTGCCTGCTTTTGGGTTTACTCTTTTATTTAACTGTAATTACCCTCCTGCCCGTGAGGGCTTGCACGGCTCCAGTCGGGCCTGCCCCAGCATTGCAGCTCTGGGGTCAGGCTAAGATTGCTGAGTGACTTCCATGCTCCTCTTGCTTTTTAACACTTTCTCTTGCTTGCTCTCTTGTAACCCTGTGCCAGTTTTTGACGGTTGCAAACCAGCCCAGGAGGAGATGGCAAAGGCAGTTGCAAATGATCACCATGTGAATTCTGAACCTGAACCTGGTGATTCCCATGTGGATGAGGAAGAAGAGCACACAACAAGTGCAGAGCTTGGTGCCAGTGAAGGTGAGATCAGCTGTCCACTGGGGACGTGAATTAAATCTTATTCATCTGAAGTCTCTTTATAGAAGTGTTTGCCTTTTCTAGGCTCCAGACCCTCCTTGTGCTCTTTCCTTACTTGTGTAAAATGGGGTGATGCCTAGCTGCCTTCTGTAACCATGTATCATTAATGCTTTTTTGGCAGTTATAATGGTCCTAGGTAAAGAATCCAGGCCATGGGAAAACTGGCTGCCAGTCAAGGGAACAGCTGTGGGAAGCAGGAATCTAGTGAGCTTCCCTTTGCTTCCAGCTGGCACAGGGCTGCCTTGGGAAAGGGAAGGACAGGAGTGACAGACGTGGTCCACAGGCTGTTCCCTATGTGTCTCCCAGGCCATCTCCCTCTTAGCAGCTGGCATGATTGTCAGGGAGGAAACTTCAGCTTGATCCTGATTCCCACTGAGAACTTTTCTTGTCCAGCCACCCTGGCAGCTTACTGATGCAGACAGCAGAGCCTTGCATGTTGTACATTAAAGCCACCCTGCTGCAGTGAGCCACAGGGACAGGACATGGTAAGATTCAACTCCACAGCAGCAATGAGGCTGAAAAGAGCAGAAAACCAGAGGTTAAAACTTACTTCAGTCTGCTCTGGCTGTTGCTCTTCCATTCCGTTCCTCCTTCCTCTAAGAGGCAGAACAGGTCTTCTGTATTGTTTTAAAGTGCTGGTTGTACACTGTCTTCATAGAATCATAGAATAGTTAGGGTCGGAAAGGACCTTAAGATCATCCAGTTCCAGCCCCCCTGCCATGGGCAGAGACACCTCCCTCTAAACCATGTCACCCAAGGCTCTGTCCAACCTGGCCTTGAACACTGCCAGGGATGGAGCATTCACAACCTCCCTGGGTAAAGAATTTTCTCCTTATATCCAATCTAAACTTCCCCTATTTAAGTTTAATCCGGTTACTCCTTGTCCTGTCACTACAGTCCCTAGTGAAAAGTCCATCCTCAGCATCCCTATATGCCTCCCTTCAGATACTGGAAGGCTGCTCTGAGGTCTCCACGCAGCCTTCTCTTCTCCAGGCTGAACAGCCCCAGCTTTCTCAGCTGATCTTCACACAGGAGGTGCTCCAGCCCCTGAGCATCCTCATGGCCTCCTCTGGACTTGTTCCAACAGTTCCATCTCCTTTTTATGTTGAGGACACCAGAACTGCGCACAGTGCTCCAGGTGAGGTCTCACGAGAGCAGAATAAAGAGGCAGGATCACCTCCTTGGACCTGCTGGTCACACTCCTTTTGATGCAGCCCAGGATACGGTTGGTTTCTGGGCTGCCAGCGCACACTGAAGCCAGCTCATGTTCATTTTCTCATCGACCAGCACCCCCAAGTCCTTCTCCTTGGGCTGCTCTGAATCTCTTCTCTGCCCAGCCTATAGCTGTGCCTGGGATTGCTCTGACCCAGGTTCTCTGACCCAGGTCTTCTACTTTGGGTCCAGCGTGTTCCAAGTGTTTTTCGGGCCAACTGGGAGCCTTTTAATCTTCTCGCTCTATGTAGTCCAAGAACACACAGGCTTTTAGGGCTTGTTGTCTTTCATCCACGAGGTGTATGCAGGAGGCTGGAGGTTCCTTCTCATTTCAGGTCTGTCAGTAATAGTTGTCCTCTCAGTAATTCTTTCTCTGATGAGATTGCTTCAGCTGGCAGCAAACAACTGTCTATAACATTTAATTTACAAGCCCAGTGATCTTTGTATGTTGGTCTCCATGAGGATCTATGTTTCTGATGTACAGACCAGGGCAGAGAACATGTTGTCCCTGGACTTTGCCCAGTTTGAGAGAGGGTGGCTTGGAAAAGACATTGCTCCTTCCTCCTTGCAATGGCACAAAACTTCTCAGCTCCTAAAGAATAGGAACCTCCCAGGTTTGTATGGAACACGGGTGCAGCAGTGCAGGGTGCTGGCGTGATGGCCAGGGATGCACCCTGGAGCACTGGATTCCCAGGGGGTGGGAATCGATCCTGTGCTATTCCCCTGGTGAAATTACAGCACCCACGGCCAGTTTCCCATTCTGCAGGAGCAGCTGAGGATTCTTGCTGTGTGTGCCTATTTCACATGAGCAGTTTACACCTATTTCTGTATGTTTGAATGTAGCTCACACACCTGAGGTCCCAGAGAGGCGGGTCAGGGAGGAGGGCGCACAGGCAGGCCCACCAGAGCTGGAGGCTGGTCATGCATTGATGTCTTTGCTTCAGTGAGGTGTGCCAGGCGCCAGAAGAGCAGCACTGGGAGCACAGCCAGAGCATGGTGGGTGATGAGAAACAGCGCAGCAAGTTTTGTTCTCGTCACCACACCGATGTCACTTCATTGCTCGGGACAGATCACATCTTTAATGATAACCCTGTAAACAGCCTTCACACTAACACAGTTCTCAGTAAAACTAATGTCTGATTGTTCCCTAATAGCACCAGATGCAGCCTCTTTGGCTGAAGGAGCAAGAACACTTGACGAGCAGAAGGCAGCAAAACAAGTGGTACAAGACGGGCAGATGGAAGGGGAGAAACAAGCACTTGAGGAGGAAGAGTCTGTGGCTGAGGGAGGAGATGCTCAATCCGAAGATGCAGAAGAAGTGGCACGGGTGGGAGATCTGCTGCCCAAGGAGGACACCGTGGCTGTGCTGCTGATGGAGAGTCTGCTCGCGGTGCGGGAATCTGCACCTGAGGAGAGCACCCGAGCAGAAGGAGATCCCAAAGGACAGGAGACATGGAAGGGAGCGGAGACTGGTGCAGAGGTGGCACCTGGGGAACAGGAGGGTGTGATGGAGGGGATGGGGAGCATGGCAGCATGGGGAGGGCAGGAAACTGAGGCCATGCAGAGGGGAGGTTCTGCAGGTCATAGTGTTGAGGTTGTTGAGATGGTGTATGAGCCAGTGGAGGTGGGAGGTTCTGCAGGTGAGGGTGTTGTGATTGAGATGGTGTCTGAGGGCGTTCAGGAGGGAGGATCTGCAGGTCAGGGTGTTGTGATTGAGATGGTGTCTGAGGGCGTTCAGGAGGGAGGATCTGCAGGTCAGGGTGTTGTGACTGAGATGGTGTCTGAGGGCGTTCAGGAGGGAGGATCTGCAGGTCATGGTATTGTGATTGAGATGGTGTCTGAGGGTGTTCAGGAAGGAGGATCTGCAGGTCATGGTACTGTGATTGAGATGGTGTCTGAGGACTTGCTGGAGGGAGGATCTGCAGGTCATGGTGTTGTTGTGAGTGAGGTGGTGAATGGGGTCATGCAGGAGGGAGGTTCTGCAGGACAGGGTGTTGTGATTGAGATGGTGTCTGAGGACTTGCAGGAGGAAGGTTCTGCTGGTCAGGGTGTTGTGATTGAGATGGTGTCTGAGGACTTGCAGGAGGGAGATTCTGCTGGTCAGGGTGTTGTGATTGAGATGGTGTCTGAAGACTTGCAGGAGGGAGATTCTGCTGGTCAGGGTGTTGTGACTGAGATGGTGTCTGAGGGTGTTCAGGAAGGAGGATCTGCAGGTCATGGTATTGTGATTGAGATGGTGTCTGAGGACTTGCTGGAGGGAGGATCTGCAGGTCAGGGTGTTGTTTTGAATGAGGTGGTGAATGGGGTCATGCAGGAGGGAGTTTCTGCAGGTGAGGGTGTTGTGATTGAGATGGTGTCTGAAGACTTGCAGGAGGGAGGATCTGCAGGTCACGGTGTTGTGAGTGAGGTGGTGAATGAGGTCACGCAGGAGGGAGGTTCTGCTGGTCAGGGTGTTGTGATTGAGATGGTGTCTGAGGACTTGCAGGAGGAAGGTTCTGCTGGTCAGGGTGTTGTGCTTGAGATGGTGTCTGAGGACTTGCAGGAGGAAGGTTCTGCTGGTCAGGGTGTTGTCCTTGAGATGGTGTCTGAGGACTTGCAGGAGGGAGGTTCTTCTGGTCAGGGTGTTGTGCTTGAGATGGTGTCTGAGGACTTGCAGAAGGGAGGTTCTGCAGGTCAGGGTGTTGTGATTGAGATGGTGTCTGAGGGTGTTCAGGAAGGAGGATCTGCAGGTCATGGTATTGTGATTGAGATGGTGTCTGAGGACTTGCTGGAGGGAGGATCTGCAGGTCAGGGTGTTGTTTTGAATGAGGTGGTGAATGGGGTCATGCAGGAGGGACTTTCTGCAGGTGAGGGTGTTGTGATTGAGATGGTGTCTGAGGACTTGCAGGAGGGAGGATCTGCAGGTCACGGTGTTGTGAGTGAGGTGGTGAATGAGGTCACCCAGGAGGGAGGTTCTGCTGGTCAGGGTGTTGTGATTGAGATGGTGTCTGAGGACTTGCAAGAGGGAGGTTCTGCAGGTCAGGGTGCTGTGAATGAGATGGTGTCTGAGGACTTGCTGGAGGGAGGATCTTCAGGTCACGGTGTTGTTGTGAGTGAGGTGGTGAATGGGGTCATGCAGGAGGAAGGTTCTGCAGGAGAGGGTGTTGTGATTGAGGTGTTGTCTGAAACTGTGCAAGGGGAAGGTTCTGCAAGTCAGGGTGTTGTGAGTGAAGTGGTGAATGAGGTAACACAGGAGGAAGATTCTGCTGGTCAGGGTGTTGTGATCGAGATGGTGTCTGAAGACTTGCAGGAGGGAGATTCTGCAGGTCAGGGTGTTGTGATTGAGATGGTGTCTGAGGGTGTTCAGGAGGGAGGATCTGCAGGTCAGGGTGTTGTGAGTGAGGTGGTGTCTGAGACTGCTCCAGGCAAAGGTTCTGCAAGTCAGAGTGTTGTTGTGCATGATGTGGTGAATGAGGTCAAGCAGGAGGCAGGTTCTGCTGGTCAGGGTGTTGTGATTGAGATGGTGTCTGAGGCTGTTCAGGAGGGAGGATCTGCTGGTCAGAGTGTTGTTGTGAGTGAAGTGGTGAATGAGGTCACACAGGAGGCAAGTTCTGCTGGTCAGGGTGTCATGATTGAGATGGTGTCTGAGCACTTGCAGGAGGGAGGTTCTGCAGGTCAGGGTGATGTTGTGATTGAGATGGTGTCTGAGGGTGTTCAGGAGGGAGGATCTGCAGGTCAGGGTGTTGTGAGTGAGGTGGTGTCTGAGACTGCTCCAGGCAAAGGTTCTGCAAGTCAGAGTGTTGTTGTGCATGATGTGGTGAATGAGGTCAAGCAGGAGGCAGGTTCTGCTGGTCAGGGTGTTGTGATTGAGATGGTGTCTGAGGCTGTTCAGGAGGGAGGATCTGCTGGTCAGAGTGTTGTTGTGAGTGAGGTGGTGAATGAGGTCACGCAGGAGGCAGGTTCTGCAGGTCAGGGTGTTGTGTTTGAGGTGGTGTCTGAGGCTGTTCAGGAGGGAGGTTCTGCAGGTCAAGGTGATGTTGTGAGTGAGGTGGAGTCTGAGAGTTTTCAGGAGGGAGGTTCTGCAGGTCAGGGTGTTGTGAGTGAGATGGTGTCTGAGGATTTGCAGGAGGCAGGTTCTGCAGGTCAGGGTGATGTGAGTGAGGTGGAGTCTGAGAGCGTTCAGGAGAGAGACTTTGCAAGTCAGGGTGTTGTGAGTGAGACGGTGTCTGAAACTGTGCAAGGGGAAGGTTCTGCAGGTCAGGGTCTTGTTGTGAGTGAAGTAGAGTCTGAGAGTGTTCAGGAGGGAGGCTCTGCAGGTCAGGGTGGTGTTGTGAGTGAGATGGTGCCTGAGGACCTTCAGGAGGGAGGTTCTGCAGGTCAGGGTGTTGTGATTGAGATGGTGTCTGAGGGTGTTCAGGAGGGAGGTTCTGCAGGTGATGCTGTTGTGATAGAGATGGTGTCTGAGGGTGTTCAGGAGGGAGGATCTGCAGGTCAGGATATTGTGGAGGAGGGTGGGATGCTGTATGAGGCTGTACAGGAGGGAAGTTTTGCAGGTCAGGGTGTTGTGAGGGAAGGGGAGATGGTGTATGAGGCTGTGCAGGAGGGTGGTTTTGCAGGTCAAAGTGGTGTTGTGACTGAGATGGTGTCTGAAAGTGTGCAAGGGGAAGGTTCTGCAGGTCAGGGTGTTGTTGTGAGTGAGATGGTGTCTGAGGCTGTGTTGAAGGGGTGTTCTGCAGGAAAGGGTGTTATAGATGTGAATGAGATGGTGTCTGAAGCTGTGCAGGAAGGAGGTTCTGCAGGTCAGGGTGTTGTTATGAGTGCGATAGTGTGCGAGGACTTGCAGGAGGGAGGTTCTGTAGGTGAAGGTGTTGTTGAGAGTGAGATGGTGTCTGAGTCTGTGCAAGGGGGAGGTTCTGCAGGTCAGGATGTTGTAAGTGAGATTATGTCTGAGGCAATGCAATGGCAGGGTTCTGCAGCTCAGGGTGTTGTTGTGAGTGGTATGGTGTCTGAGGTCACACAGGAGGGACATTCTCCAGGTCAGGGTCTTGTTGTGAGTGAGATGGTGTCAGAGGCTCTGAAGGAGGGAGGTTCTACATGTCAGGGTGTTGTGGAGGTGGGTGAGATGGTGTTTGACGCCTCTGAGGAGGGAGGTTCTGCAGGTCAGGGAGTTGTGAGTGAGATGGTGTTTGAGGGTGTGCAAGGGAGAGGTTCTGCTGGTCAGGGTGTGAGTGAGATTGTTGGTGAGGACTTGCAGGAGGCAGGTTCTGCAGGTGAGGGTGTTGTAGATGTTAGTGAAGTGGTTTCTGAGGTCAGGAAGGAGGGATGTTCTACATGTCAGGGTGTTGTTGAGGTGGGTGAGATGGTGTTTGACACCTCTGAGGAGGGAGATTCTGCAGGTCAGGGAGTTGTGAGTGAGATGGTGTTTGAGGGTGTCCAAGGCAGAGGTTCTGCAGGTCAGGTTGTGAGTGACATTGTTGGTGAGGACTTGCAGGAGGGAGGTTCTGCAGGTGAGGGTTTTGTAGATGCTAGGGAAGTGGTTTCAGAGGTCAGGAAGGAGGGAGGTTCTGCAGGTGAGGGTGTTGTTATGAATCAGGTGGTGAATGAGGTCACGCAGGAGGCAGGTTCTGCAGGTGAGGGTGCTGTGGAACTGCTTGAGATGGTGTTTGAGGCCGTGCAGGAGGGAAGTTTTGCAGGCCATGGTGTTGTTATGAGTGAGATGGTGTCTGAGGCTGTGCAGGAGGGGTGTTCTGAAGGTCGAGGTGCTGTTGTGATTGAGATGATGTCCGAGGCTGTGCAGGAGGGATGTTCTGCAGGTGAGGGTGTTCTTTTGGGTGAGATGGTGTCTGAGGCTATACAGAAGGGAGGTTCTGCAGGTCAAGGTGCTGTTGTGAGTGAGATGGTGTCTGAGTCTGTGCAGGAGGGAGCTTCTGCAGGTCAGGGTATTGTTTGGGGTCAGATGGTGTCTGAGGCTACACAGGAGGCAGGTTCTGCAAGCCAGGGTGCTCTTGTGAGTGAGATGATCTCTGAGTCCATGCAGGAGGGAGATTCGGCAGGTCAAGGTGTTGTTGTGAGTGAGATGGTGTATGAGGACCTGCAGGAGGGAAGTTCGGCAGGTGAAGGTGGTGTTGTGAGTGAGGTGGTTTCTGAGGCTGTGCCGGAGGGAGGTTCTGCATGTCAGGGTGCTGTTGTTAGTGAGATGGTATCTGTGGCTGTGCAAGGGAGAGATTCTTCAGATCAGGTTCGTCTGAGTGAGATGTTGTCTGAGGCTGTGCAGGAGGAAGTTTCTGCAGGTCAGGGTGTTGTGAGTGAGACAGTATCTAAGCCTGTGCAGGAGGGAGGTTCTGCAGGGCAGGGTGTTGTTGAGAGTGAGATGGTGTCTGAGGCTGTGCAGGAGGGAGGTTCTGCAAGTCAGGGTGTTGTGAGTGAGATGATGTCTGAGGCTGTGCAGGAGGGAGGTTCTGCAAGTCAGGGTGTTGTGAGTGAGATGATGTCTGAGGCTGTGCAGGAGGGAGGTTCTGCAGGTCAGGGTGTTGTGAGTGAGATGATGTCTGAGGCTGTGCAGGAGGGAGGTTCTGCAGGTGAAGGTGTTGTTGTGAGTGGGGTGGTGTCTCAGGCTGCTCAGGAGCGAGGTTCTGCAGGTGAAGGTGTTGTGAGTGAGATGGTGTTTGAGGCCTTACAGGAGGTAGGTTCTGCTTATCAGGGTGTTGTGATTGAGATGGTATATAAGGCCGTGCAGGATGGAGGTTCTGCAGGACAGGGTGTTGTGAGTGAGATGTTTTCTAAGCCTTTGCAGGAGGGAGGTTCTGCAGGTCAGGATGCTGTTGTGAGTGAGATGGTGTCTGAGGACATGCAGGAGGGAGGTTCTGCAGGTCAGGGTGTTGTTGTGAGTGAGATTGTGTCTGGTGCTGTGCAGGAGGGAGGTTCTGCTGGTCAGGGTGTTGTGAGTGAGATGGTGTATGAGTCCATGCAGGAGGGTGGTTCTCCAAGTCAGGATGTTGTGAGTGATGTGGTGTCTGAGGCCTTGCAGAAGGGAGTTTCTACAGGTCAGGCTGTTGCTGTGAGTGAGATGGTGTCTGAGGTCACGAAGGTGGCAGGTTCTGCAGGTCAGGTTGTTCTTGTGAGTGGGATGGTGTCTCAGGCTGTGCCGGGGAGAGGTTCCGCAGGTCAGGGTGTTGTGAAGGAGGGTGAGATAGTGTCTGAGGTCACACAGGAGAGAGGTTCTGCTGCTGAGGGTGTTGTTGTGAATGAGATGATGTGTGAGGCTGTGCAGGAAGGGTGTTCTGCAGGTCAAGGTGCTGTTGTGAGTGAGACGGTGTCTGAGGTCAAGCAGGAGGGAGTTTCTGCCTGTCAGGGTGTTGTTGTGAGTGCGATGGTGTCTGGTGCTGTGCAGGAGGGCGGTTGTACAAGTCAGGGTGTTGTTGGGATGGAAGAGATTGTGTCTGAGGTAACGAAGGAGGTAGGTTCTGCAGGTCAGGGTGTTGTGAGTGAGATGGTGTCTGAGGCCTTGCAGGATGGAAGGTCTGCAGGTCAGGGTGTTGTGAGTGAGATGTTGTCTGAGGTCATGCAGGAGGCACATTCTCCAGGTCAGGGTGTTCTTGTGAGTGAGATGATCTCTGAGTCTATGCAGGAGGGAGGATCTGCAGCTGTGGCCATTGTAGGAGTGAGTGAGATGGTGCCTGAGGCCATGCAGGAAGGAGGTTCTGCAGGTCAGGCCGTTGTAGAAGTGAGTGAGATGGTGTCTGAGGCTGTTCAGAAGGGAGGTTCTGCAGGTCAGGGTGTTGTTGTGAGTGAGATGGTGTCTGAGGCTGTGCAGGAGGGAGGTTCTGTACGTCAGGCGGTTGTAGATGTCAGTGAGATGATGTCTGAGGCTCTGATGGAAAGAGGTTCTACAGATGAAGCTGTTCTGTGTAAGGTGGTGACTGATGTCACGCAGGAGAGTGGTTCTACATGTCAGGGTGTTGTTTTGAGTGAGATGGTGTGTGAGGTCATGGTGGAGGGAGGTACTGCAGGTCAGGGTGTTGTGAGTGAGGCGGTGTCAGAGGCCACACAGGAGGGAGTCTCTGTATGTCCGGAAGCTGTTGTGCATGAAATGGTGTCTGAAGCCATGCAGGAGGGAGGTTCTGCAGGTCAGGATGTTGTTGTGAGTGAGATTGTGTCTGGTGCTGTGCAGGAGGCCGGTTCTACAGGTCAGGGTGTTGTTGTGAGTGAGATGATGTCTGAGGCCTTGCAGGACGGAGGTTCTATAGGTCAGGGTATTGTAGATGTGAGTGAGATGGTGTCCAAGGCTGTGCAGGAGGGAGTTTCTACAACTCAGGGTGTTGTGGAGGTGCTTGAGATGGTGTCTGAAGCCACAGAGAAGGAAGGTGCTGCAGGTCAGGGTGTTGTTGTGGGTGAGATGTTTTCTGAGGCTGTGAAAGGGAGAGATTCTTCAGGTCAGGTTGTTGTTGTGCATGAAATGGTGTTTGAGGCAGTGCAGAAGGGGGGTTCTGCAGGTCAGGGTGTTGTGGAAGTGGTTGAGATTGTGTCTGAGGAGGTGCAGGAGGGAGGTTCTGCAGGTCAAGTTGGTGTGAGTGAGACAGTGTCTGAGGACTTGCAGGAGGGAGTTTCTGCAGGTCAGGGTGTTGTTGAGAGTGAGGTGGTGTCTGAGGCTGTGCAGGGGAGAGCTTCTGCTGGTCAGGGTGTTGTTGTGAGTGAGATGGTGTCTGATGACTTGCAGGATGGAGGCTCTGCAGGGCAGGCTGTTACTGTGTGTGAGATGGCATCTGAGGCCATGCAGGAGGGAGGTTCTGAATGTCAGGGTGTTGCAGAAGTGGTTGAGATGGTGTCTGATGCTCTGCTGGAAAGAGGTTATATGGGTCAAGGTGTTGTTCTGAGCGCGGTGGTGTCTGAAGTCACACGGGAGAGTGGTTCTGCGTGTCAGGGTGTTGTTTTGAGTGAGATGGTGTGTGAGGTCACGCAGGAGGGAGGTTCTGCAGGTCAGGGTGTTTTTGTGAGTGAGATGGTATCTGAGGCTGTGCAGGTGGGGGTTTGGGTGGGTGTTGTGGTGGTGTGTTGGGTGTGGGGGGGGTTTGGGTGGTGTTGTGGTGGTGTGTTGGGTGTGGGGGGGATGTTCTGCAGCTCAGCTTGTTGTTAAAGAGATGGTGTCTGAAGCGGTACAGGAGGGAGGTTCTGCATGTGAAGGTGTTATGACTGAGGTGGTGTCTGAGGCTGTGCAAGATGGACGTTCTGCAGGTCAAGGTGTTGTGAGTGAGATGGTCTCAAAGGCTGTGCAGGTGGGAGGTTCTGCAGGTCAAGGTGTTGTTGTGAGTGAGATGGTGTCTGAGGCTGTGCAGGGGAGAAGTTCTGGAGGTCAAGGTGTTGTTGTGAGTGAGATGGTGAATGAGGTCACGCAGGAGGGAGGTTCTACAGGTGAAGGTGTTGTTGTGAGTGAGATTGTGTCTGAGGCTCTACAGGAGGGAGGTTCTGCAGGTGAAGGTGTTGTTGTGAGTGAGATTGTGTCTGAGACTGTGCAGGAGGGAGGTTCTGCAGGTCAGGGTGTTGTTGTGAGTGAGATGATGTCTGAGGACTTGCAGGAGGGAGGTTCTGCAGGTGAAGATGTTGTGAGTGAGGTGGTGTCTGAGGCTGTGCAGGATGGAGGTAATGCCTGTCAGGGTGTTATTGTGAGTGAGACGGTGTCTGAGGCTGTGCAAGGGAGAGGTTCTGCAGGTCAGTGTGTTTTGGAGGTAGTTGATGTGGTGTCTCAGGTTGTGGAGGAGGGAGATTCTCCAGGTCAGGGTGTCATGGAGGTGTCTGAGATGGTGTCTGAGGCTGTACAAGAGGGAGGTTCTGCAACTGAAGATGTTGTTGTGCATGATACAGTTTCTGAATCCGTGAAAGGGTGGGGTTCTGCAGGTCAGGATGTTGTTGTGAGTGAAATGGTGTCTGAGACCATGCAAGGACTGGGTTCTGCAGGTCAGGGTGTTGTTGTGAGTGAGATGGTGTCTGAGGTTGTGCAGGAGGGGGGTTCTGCAGGTCAGGATGTTGTTGTGAGTGAAATGGTGTCTGAGACCATGCAAGGAGTGGGTTCTGCAGGTCAGGGTGTTGTTGTGAGTGAAATGGTGTCTGAGACCATGCAAGGAGTGGGTTCTGCAGGTCAGGGTGTTGTTGTGAGTGAGATGGTGTCTGAAACCATGCAAGGAGTGGGTTCTGCAGGTCAGGGTGTTGTTGTGAGTGAGATGGTGTCTGAAACCATGCAAGGAGTGGGTTCTGCAGGTCAGGGTGTTGTTGTGAGTGAGATGGTGTCTAATGCTATGCAGGAGGGGAGTTCTGCAGGTCAGGGTGTTGTTGTGAGTGAGATGGTGTCTGAGACCATGCAAGGAAGGGGTTCTGCAGGTCAGGATGTTGTTGTGAGTGAGAGGGTGTCTGAGACCATGGAAGAAGGGGGTTCTGCAGGTCAAGGTGTTGTTGTGAGTGAGATGGTGTCTGAGACCATGCAAGGAGTGGGTTCTGCAGGTCAGGGTGTTGTTGTGAGTGAGATGGTGTCTGAGACCATGCAAGGAGTGGGTTCTGCAGGTCAAGGTGGTGTTGTGAGTGAGATGGTATCTGAGGCTATGCAGGAGGGGAGTTCTGCAGGTCAAGGTGTTGTTGTGAGTGAGATGGTGTCTGAGGTTGTGCAGGAGGGGCATTCTGCAGGTGAAGGTGTTGTGAGTGAGATGGTGTCTAATGCTATGCAGGAGGGGAGTTCTGCAGGTGAAGGTGTTCTTCTGAGTGAGATGGTGTCTGAGTCCATGCAAGGAAGGGGTTCTGCAGGTCAGGATGTTGTTGTGAGTGAGATGGTGTCTAATGCTATGCATGAGGGGAGTTCTGCAGGTCAAGGTGTTGTTGTGAGTGAGATAGTGTCTAATGCTATGCAGGAGGAGGGTTCTGCAGGTCAAGGTGTTGTGAGTGAGATGGTTTCTGAGACCATGGAAGAAGGGGGTTCTGCAGGTGAAGGTGTTGTGAGTGAGATGGTGTCTGAGGCTGTGCAGGAGGGAGTTTCTGCATGTCCGGGTGTTGTGGAAGTGGTTGAGATGGTGTCTGAAGGCACTCAGCAGGGAGGTTCTTCTACAGGTGAGGGTGTTGTTTTGAGTGAGATGGTGTTTGAAGGTGTGCAGGAGGGAGGTTCTGCAGGTCAGGGTGTTATTTTGAGTGCGATGGTGTCTGAGGTCACACAGGAGGGAGGTTCTGCAGGGCAGGGTCTTGTGAGTGAGATGTTTTCTGAGCCTGTGCAGGAAGCAGCTTCTGCAGGTCAGGTTGTTTTGGATGTGGGTAAGATGGTGTCTGAGGCCATGCGGGAGGGAGCATCTGCAGTTCAGGGTGTTGTGGTAGGAGCTGTGTGTGAGGCAGAGGAGGCTGTGGAGGAAGCTAGCTTGGGAGAAGCTGGGTTTGCTGGGGCAGCTGACCCTTATGGGGAAGAGTCTGTCAAGGAAACAACTTCTGGGTGGGTGGAGGCTGTGGAGAAGCCTGGGGCTCTCCCGGAGGCCTTGGGGAATCGGGATGTGTGCACAGGAGAGGCTGTGCCTGGAGGAGATGACTTTGTAAAGCCAAATGTGTTTTCCCAGCTGAAAGCGTCAGGGGAAGAGTTGGCGCAGAAGGGGAAAGCAGCAACACCTGAGGTTGGCGAGGCATTGGAGGTGGAGGGGAGTTCTTTCCTGAGAGTAGAAGACACAGTGGAGGAGTCTGTGGAGCCTGGCAAGGGTCCCCTGCTGCAAGAGGCACCTGCACTGGAGGCACTGGTGGGTGCTGGAGGGGATCCCTTAAGTGAAGGATCACTTAGGCTGGAGGAGACCTCAGCAGCAGAAGAGGAGGAGGGCTCAGCAGAAGCAGTCTTGTGTGGAAACCCATCTCCAGGCAGCAAGGCAAAGACGGAGGGAGCAGTGGAAGGGAAAGCGGATGGAGGGGTGGGGACGGTGTGTGTGCAGGGCGCCAGAGCAGAGCCAAGGGCTGGAGAAGACGGCACGGGGCGAGCAGCGGGTCCGGGGCAGCGGGCAGATGGGATGGGCGGACCCCCGGGGTGTGCTGAGGGGACAGGGAAGGCGCAGCCTGACGGCCACGGGGCACTGGAGGGGACAGCGCGGGCTGCCCCGGGGTGGGGGGGGAGCGCGGCGGGGGCAGCGGGGCAGGAGGGGGCCGCGGATGGGGCCGCCGAGGCGCTGAGCTCCCCGCGGCTGCAGCGGGGACATCCGGGCACGGGGGCAGCGGGCAGCGAGGACGGGGCAGAGCGGGCGGCGGGGGGAGCAGAGCCGGAGCAGAGCGGCCTCCATGGGGGAGCTGCAGAGGGAGCAGCAGCCCCTGTCCCGGCGAGTGCACAGAGCCCTGCGGGGGCCGGGGAGCAGGGGACGGACAGTCCCGTCGGAGGGAGCCCGGACACCCCAGGAGCTGCTGATGCGGGCGAGAGGAGCCGCAGTCCCTGTGAGGTGAATCCTGTGCGGGTCAGCCCCTGTCCCCCGCACTGTCCCCGCGCTGTCCCTGTCACAGGCAGAGGGTGCACCGCTTCATCCCGTTTGCTATAAGTGGAATGTCTGCAGCTGGTAGTTGGGGTGAGGGGTCATAGAGCCAGAGAATCATGGAGAGGTTGAGAGGTTTGTGTTGGAAGGGCCCTTAAAGCTCCTCCAGCTCCAACCCCTGCCATGGGCAAGGACCCCTTCCACTGGAGCAGCTTGCTCCAAGCCCCTGTGTCCAACCTGGCCTTGAGCACTGCCAGGGATGGGGCAGCCACAGCTTCTCTGGGCACCCTGTGCCAGCGCCTCAGCACCCTCACAGGGAAGAGCTTCTGCCTAAGAGCTCAGCTCAGTCTCCCCTCGGGCAGGTTCAAGCCATTCCCCTTGGCCTGTCCCTACAGGCCCTTGTCCAAAGCCCCTCTCCAGGTTTCCTGTAGCCCCTTTAGGCACTGGAACTGCTTTAAGGTCTCCCCAGTGCCTTTCTCAAGGCTGGACAAGCCCAGCTCTCTCAGCTGTCTCCACAGGATGATGAATCCTTTTGGGTGTCAGCTTCTGCATTCTTCCTTGCTCACAAAATCTCATAGCAAACATTTGCTCTGGCACTAACACTTGCAGCTCCCCAGCCATTGCCACGTGGAGCAGCTCCCGATGCCCAGCATCCCGCTCCCCTGCCTGGCTCCTCTGCCGCAGCAGCAGCACTCGGCTTTTCTGGTTACTCCGGCATCAGCTTGCAGGAACCCATTGCAGCAGCATTGCAGTAGCTCAGACTTCATGTTTTCTGTAAGCTGACGTTTTTCTCTCTGTTCCGTAGGAGCTTGCAGTCCCAGACACCGCTGTCGTGCCCCCGGTACAGCCCCAGCTTGAGAAAGAAAGCTGCCTCTAAGCTTTCTCTGCAGCTCCTTCCTGCAACACTGACACAAGTTGCTGTAGCTCTGTGCTGATTGCAATGTTCCCTCCTTTATTTCACTCCATGAGTACCACAATTGTCTGTCACATTTTACCAGAGCAGCTTCTCCGTGTGCAGCAGACACCTCAAGCGAACCTGAACCCGCCAGCCCAGGAGCAGCACGCTCAGAATGACAAAGAAGACAATCACAAAGGGCTGTTCCACTGCTTGCTTTTCCCCAAACACAGGGAAGTGTTGGACCGGCTGAGCCTCGTCCCCCAGCACCGCTGCTGCAGGCTGAGGGTGGCTGTGCTGTGTGTGCTCACAGGACAGGAGGTGTCTGCGCCCAGTGCCCGTGGTGGTGGCTGTGTCCATGTCCTGTCTGCGCGTCCCTGTGTGTCATTTCCCATTGTGAGCTGCAGGCTCTTCGCTGTGAGCCGGGGCTGTGTCCATACCCCGGGCATGGGCACCTGCTGATGCTCTGATTGCCACAGAGCAGCGGGGGGTGCTCGGCAGGGTCACGGGATGGGGTGTTTGCTTGGGGGGTGCTGCGCTGCTGGGGGGGGGGTGTGTCCCTGTCCTTGGGGCCCAGGCTTGCTGCTGGCCATGCTTCAGGGTGTTCTTGGCACTTGGCAATGTTGAAGATCATTGGATCAGAGCAGCTCTACTGGGTTTGTGAATGAATAAAGCCTTTTGCTTCTGCTGGTGCCAGTCAGGAGTGATTCCCTGGCCCGTGGGGCTGTGCTGGGTGGTCAGCAGGGTGAAGCTGGCTGCAGATCTGCACTGCTGAAGTCTGCATTCCAGCTCTGCTGCATCTCCTAGCGTGTGAAGGGCACAGAATGGAAAGTTGTGCTAAGGACCTTCTCCACTGCACATCCGTCTGGGGCACCAAAGCCCTGGGCCACTCTGTGAAGTTTCTTAGATCGTCACAAATGGTTCTGCATTCAAACGTATCTTGAATCTTCTTCTGGTCTTCAATACTGATCTCTTCTTTCTAACCAAATGACTAATGCGGAGTTGAATGCTGTAACTACATCATGCACGCACTCATGCAGAGCCTTGTAAGCATGGTTGCACCAGCACCATTTACAATTGCACATCCATTCACGTGGTTGCAATTAAAGTGTTGGAGCTGAGCAAGGGCAGAAGGAGGAGGGCAGGGATTTGCCTTTGCAGGGGTTGCCTGGAAGGGTCAGGACTAAAACTAAGGCTGTACTTGGGCACATTGTGACTCATACTGGTCTATTTGACACTGAGCTGCTTTACTGAGGGCAGGATGAAAACACAAGGGGTGTGATGTGTTGCTGGTAGGCACCAGGGAAGCCCAAGATAAATGGTGCTGCAGCGATTGGGGAAGGAAGCTGACAATTCATTACTTAAAATACCTGACATATTTATAACTGACACCTGTGTGTGTGATTTTAACCATTACGGGAATGACCCCTTTGGTTTGGAACATGCCAGTTGTACGAATTCTCGTATTGCTCTAAGCCCCCACCCTGCACATACTCTGGTTTCATAGACCGGCAGAAAAAAAATCAGCTTTCCCAAGGAGACACCGTGATTTCTGAGCTCATATTGATGGGATAAGCTCTTCTCTGTCGTGCTTCTTTCTCTTCTCTCCCACACAGGGCAGGTGTGGGTGAGCTTCGATCTGTGATGCGAAGCAGTTCTTGCCCCATCTCACCTTTTCCCCTGGCATGGACCAGACAGTTTCACCGCTCTCATGCTTACCTTCTTCCTCCCCTGTTCCGTGCTGATGAAGCCACTTGCAGCTCACTGAGGGCCATGAACTGGAGCTGTGCTGGGCCATGTTCACGTGTCCAGCTCCTTCAATGGAGCTGATTTCTAACACGGTCAGAGGGCTGGAACCAGGTACACAATTGAGCTGAATTTGGCAGTTTCAGTGACTGGCCCTGCTGCTGCTGGGCTGGCTGTTAAAGAAGGGCCATTTGCGCACTTCCAAACGGGAGAGGGTGGAATTGTTTGGTAAGAAGCAAACCCATCGAACTTTTAGACCTCGCTGGAAGGTCTGAACCCCAGCTTTCAGACCTGCTGCACGCGGTGGTTCTGCCCCTCTCTGGTCACTGATTAACGGCAGCGTGAGGAGATGCAGGTGGCCCTTGGGGCACGCCAGGATGCGCACCAGCCCCGAGCCCTCACGGCACTGACCACGGGTGCGGACACAGGCGCGCTCGAGGCTTGGCTCGGCAGAGCAGCGGCCGGACCTGCCCCGGCGGCCAGGGGCTCCAGCTGAACAAGGCCCCAGTGCAGTGAACTCTGTCACTGCCTCTAGAAGCAGCGGTCAGCTCCCCCCCCCCCGAGCTGTTCAGGGTGGTTTTGGTGTATTTAGTTACTTTGAATGCGCACTGACCAGAGGTGCTGTGGCCCAGACCATGTGTGGTGCTCAGCAGGCTGCAGAGAGCATCCTGCAGCAGCTTTGCTTTGAGGCCAGACTGCACTGTTCCCTGTGTTGAGGTTATTTAGAATCATAGAATCACAGAATAGTCAGGGTTGGAAAGCACCTTAAGATCATCCAGTTCCAACCCCCCTGCCATGGGCAGGGACACCTCACACTAAACCATCTCACCCAAGGCCTCGTCCAGCCTGGCCTTGAACACTGCCAGGGATGGAGCATTCACAACCTCCTTGGGCAACCCATTCCAGTGCCTCACCCACCCTAACAGGAAAGAATTTCCTCCTTATATCCAATCTAAACTTCCCCTGTTTCAGTTTTAACCCATTACCCCTTGTCCTGTCACTACAGTCCCTAATGAAGAGTCCATCCCCAGCATCCCTATAGGCCCCCTTCAGATACTGGAAGCTGCTCTGAGGTCTCCACGCAGCCTTCTCTTCTCCAGGCTGAACAGCCCCAACTTTCTCAGCCTATCTCCATACAGGAGGTGCTCCAGCCCCTGAGCATCCTCGTGGCCTCCTCTGGACTTGTTCCAACAGATCCATGTCCTTTTTATGTTGAGGACACCAGAACTGCACACAGTGCTCCAGGTGAGGTCTCACGAGAGCAGAATAAAGGGGCAGGATCACCTCCTTCGACCTGCTGGTCACCCTCCTTTGGATGCAGCCCAGGATACGGTTGGTTTCTGGGCTGCAAGCGCACACTGAAGCCAGCTCATGTTCATTTTCTCATCGACCAGCACCCCCAAGTCCTTCTCCTGGGCTGCTCTGAATCTCTTCTCTGCCCAGCCTGTAGCTGTGCCTGGGATTGCTCCAACCCAGGTGTAGGACCTTGTACTTGGCATGGTTAAACTCCATGAGGTTGGCATCAGCCCACCTCACAAGCGTGTCACGGTCCCTCTGGATATTTGTGACACAGTCCTAAATATTTCCCTTGTGGTTGAAAGTTTGTTGTGAGTTCCTCTTGCTTCCTGTAAGGAAGGATACTGAGTCTGTCAAAACCAATCCCTCCAACCAAAGCAAGCAGATGGGTAAGAATACACAAGGCTGGAAGAGAGCAGTGAATGTAACCACCCAGATATCTGTATTCTCAGCAAGCACAAAGCACTCAAGGACCAGGCTTTGGGGAGCTGCAGCCGGGGGCTGCTGTGCTGGGGCTGTGCAAGCCCATGGTGCAAGCATGAGACACGGGATGTGTCTGGGCCTGAGGGAGCTCAGACAGAAAATGGGTCTCAAACAGTAACAGGCCAAGGGGAATGGCTTGAACCTGCCCGAGGGGAGACTGAGCTGAGCTCTTAGGCAGAAGCTCTTCCCTGTGAGGGTGCTGAGGCGCTGGCACAGGGTGCCCAGAGAAGCTGTGGCTGCCCCATCCCTGGCAGTGCTCAAGGCCAGGTTGGACACAGGGGCTTGGAGCAAGCTGCTCCAGTGGAAGGGG